CTAAATTAAGTAAAATTGTGGGTGTGGATGAAAGAGAGACACCCACACCCTGGAACCAAATAAAGCAACAATAAGAGTTTCATCATCCAATGTACGGAAAGAAAAACAACCTTCAGTTCACCAAAAACCGACATTCAATATCAACATGTTTGCTTATTTCTGGCTTGATGAAGATGTAAACAAAACGAAAGATAATCATGAAACTCAAAAGGAACTGAGAAAAAGCATCAATTCTTTACAAACATTCGAAAATCCTGATGAATGTAAACAAGTAATTCGGAATATTGTAGAAGAAAAAATTATTCTTATTTCTTGTAACTCATTGGCTCGTCAACTAGTTCCTCGCATACATAATCTTTCACAATTCAAGGCATGCTACATCTTTTGTCCAGATCAACCAGCCGACAAACAATAGATCTCCAACTATGCCAAAATATGTGATTATTATGTTGCAATAGACACGAATTCTACATTTTTACTCAACGATCGGAATTGATCGCTCGAATTACTCAAGATCAAATTGTTCGAGCTCTAATAGAAGATTCCGGAATAATTTCAGTTGTTAGTGGCAAGTCTGAATCATTGGAAAGTCGAAATGCTATGTTCATGTGGTTTCAATTATTTATTGAAGTACTTTTTCGTATGCATCATAAATCCAATGCTCGACAAGAATTAATTGATGTTTGTAAAGAACAATATCAAAATAATTCCGAAGAACTTTCGATTATTAACGAATTTGAGAAGACATACAAAACCGAAAATGCTATCGGGAGGTATACACGTGAATGTTGTCTATATTGTATTTTAAACAAAGCATTGCGCAATCAAAATTTCGATTTATTATTTGTACTTCGTTTTTTTCATTACTGATCTTTCAAATCAATTGAGAAAGGAATATGAACATTATTTACGTAATATTATTCGAAATTGACATTGATCCACGTCAAAAAAACAGTATCATTTTGTAATATCGATCGTTTGAGTTATATCGCAAGTGAAACTGAAGTTCTTATCGAATCGATTCATGAAGATAAAGAGAAAAAACTTTGGATTGTACATATTACATTAGCGAGTGAAGATGATTTTTATTTTAAAGAAACATTTGCTCATATGAAAGATAAGATTGGTGATGAAACAAATTTACATTCGCTTGGAAAAATTTTAACTAAAATATTATAAACGAATGTTTTGTGAGTCTCAACTTGATGAAAGTATAGGATATAGTGCTCTTGGATGGGCAGATCACTGGCTAAATCAATATGATGTATCTCTATCAAATTTACATAAAAGTTTATCATTATCGAATGAACTTGATCTAGATATGTGCGAAATAGTTCAATTGGTCTTGTTTACAGGAGAAAAAAACTATATTCTGAAGCATTAGAAAATTTAAATACAGCTTTAAAAATTCAACAAGCGACTTTGCTACCCGAACATCCAGATATATTAGCAACATATAATCGTTTTGCAATTACATATAGCATAGTGAGTGAAGTAGAAAGCATTAGATTTCTTTCGAAAATCTCTGTACTACCACCAACACATCGCGATATTATTCGAACCGAACAGAACATTAGTAAAGTGAATATAAAACTTCAACACAAATCACAGTCATAGTTCATTTTAAAGTTTTATTAATATATGTATTAACGTTACCACCATAAATATAGATCCATATCGATCATTTTTAATATATAATCATTAAGTAACTTCTCAAATTTGATTAATTTTTTTAATTTTGTAAGCCAACTTGTATTTGCTAATAAAACACATAATGAACACAAATGAGCAGTATTTCGATTTGTTTTCTCTAATAGAAATCGTACATATGATTTTAAATCTTTCTCATGGAGCCTTATTGTAAGATGTTGGACTTGAGAGAATAAAGCAGCAAGTATTTGAAGTGTTCCAAATGTACATTCTGCTTTAAAAGTCACGTTTATGATAGTATTTGTGCTGGATACCGTTTGAAAAGATTGACTTTCTTGAATAGAGTTATAATTAACTCCATCAAGTGGCATAGATGCGAATACTAATGTATGAATATGAGGTGTACAACATAATAATTCAATTAATTGTGTTAATGAAAGAGTAATATATTCAATAACTAATTTAGTAAGTTGCCTTAAAGGAATAACACGACTAAGATTGATTATAATTAAATTCGAAGTCTTTGAAAAGTTTTTTTGAAGAGTAAGTGTAGTAGCATTTGGAAAATAATATTTACAATCTATTAATTCATTTGCATTGTCAATTCGAAGATGTTGAACAGATTGCATGTGAGTTTTTTTCGAATTTAAACAAGTTGATTGATGAATTTGCTTACATAATGTATAATATGTTCTTCTGAAAAGTAAAAGTAATATACATATAGTATAATTCAAGATCTAATTTATTCATACCTATACGGATCTATTGAATAGAAGATTATACAATTTCTTTCCCATTCGTGAATAAACTGATGAGTAAAAAACCATTTCCGATTGATCCAAAATGAAGATGAAAAATTAGCAATCCGAGTATTCAATATCACTCGATTAGCATTATGATTGATAGTAATAATATATGTCGACCAATTTTCATGTCGAATATCGAATATACGTAAATTTGGCATATGAGATAATATCAATTGTTCCCACCTATTAGCATTTATATGCATTTGATCGGAATTGTTATCTATGGAAATATGTAAAACTTGTACTAGATGAAACATATCTATCATCATTTCTTCAAATGCATTGAAGTTTATTGAGGTTAGACCAAGTGAAATATGCGTCAAATAAGGTAATAACAATACAGATGTTTTTATATATTCTCTCCACAAATTGGATATATCAGAAACATATAAACGACGAAGTTGAGGAACATGCGACAATAAGCTGTAGAGTTCATTGGTGGAAATACGATGCTTGATGTTTAAGTACTCGATGGGACTGTATTCATTAATTGTCAACGATGATGATTCATCACAATCGAATCTTTTCAACGATAAGCTGCAATATTTCAATGCACGCAAACGAATTATCCGATAATAGATAGGAGTCCGACTTCGAATAAGGTCTCTACATGTAATAGACAGTGAAGAGAGGTATGCTAAAGAAACTAATCTAGGAAGGAGATATTTAAGATATTTTGATTCTATATTATTAAGACTGAGTGTTTTAAGATGAGGAAACTGGGATAGAATATGAGTTGGTGAAGAAATATCATCATATAAACACGGATTTGATAAATGAAGTGAATGAATTCGATGTTTATTTGGTAGAATAATATCTTTATTGTATCGTTGAAATGTTGATTTTGATATAGAAGAAAGATTAACTTCAATTGGAATAGTTGAATTAAATATAAGATTATAAAATCGTGCATTAAGTGAATAAAAAGCTTTATAAACACGATGAAAATCTAATAATTCAAATATTTCATAAATTAATTCATTAGAAAGATTTTCAAAACACGTGACGAATTCTTTCAATAAACTAAAACAAAAAGAAAAACATTCATTTTCACGAATTTTTTTTGTTGACTTACCAATTCGTCTCAACTGAAAAAAAAAGAAAAATTATAAAAAAGAATTTTATGTATATTTTACTTTCTATCTTTTCTGTTTCATTATCACCATAATTATTTATATTGTTATTTCATTGACGTTCTATTTGTTCCATATAGATATTTTCAATATTGTAAATTGATGATGAAATGTCGTTTATTTAAAAAATAAAAGAATGTGATGTTTATAATTGTGCAATAGTTTGCAACACAGAGTAAACAGAAAAAAAAGAACAAATAAGCATTCGAGAGGAAGACAAATAAAGAAAAAAAATCAACGGGTTTTTATTTTTGAAGGTGAGTAACACTATTTATTCCCACCATAAATAGCAACCAAAATAACCATCAAGTTTTATAGAAACGTCATTCTGTTGTTTCATTTCTGTAATTATATTCATTACTTTTTCAATCCATATATCACCTGTACTTCGTATAAATAATGAATGTAAATAACGAGTATTTCCATTATTACTTAATAAATATTTAATAAACGATTGAAATTCTTCTTGAATTATATTTATAGTAAGATGTTGTAATTGAGGAAAAAGACTTACTAATAGTTCAACTTCTTTGAACTTGCATGATTTAACAGTGATATTTGTAATAGTATTTTTATGAGATAAATATTGAAAATTTTTCGTACATTGTAACGACGAAAAATCTCTTCCTTCTAATGATAAAGATGTAAGTATTAATTTTTTACAATTAGGTATTAAATATAATATTTTGATTATATTGGAAAAACAAATAAAATCACTATTAATCGTTATTATCGTTATTTGTGATAAAGGAATCATGCTATTGGAAATCTTTATAATTAAATCATGAGATATATAAACATCTTTGCCAAAAGTAATTTCATTAGCATTTGGAAAATCAATTGAATAATTATCGATTGCTAATCTGTCTTCAATATGAATATGACGAACTGAATAAAATGTATTTTTCTTGTCGCATAAATAGTTGCACTGATTTTTAATGCAGTTCAACATGTAGTTTTTTCTCCTTCAAAATAAAAAAAAACAAAGCTGCTAGCTAGGGTGTGTGTGAATGAAAGAGAGGCACCCACATCCTCAAGATCGTGTCTCATACCTATATGGTTGTATAGAATAGAAAAATCCATGATTTGAACGTTTTAAATAATAATGTTGATGTGTAAAAAACCATTTTCGTTTAGTCCAAAATAATGTAGCAAATCGATTCATTAAATCTTGACATGTTTTACTATTAATGACAGCACCAAATAAAGATGTTTTATGCTGAATATCAAAAATTCGTAAATGAGGCATATGAGTTATAATCAAATTTTCCCATCTTTGAGCATTCATATATTCATTATCCATACTTGTTGAAATAGATAAAACTTGAAGATTTCTAAAAAGATTTGTCATAAAAGGTTGAAATTGATCGAAGTTAATATGGTTTAATTTAATAGAAACATGTGTAAGATTATTTAAAGTAATTGAGAATGTATGTGGCACTTGACCATTAGACAAAGTCAGACATTTGATTGATAAACGACGAAGATGAGGAACATATGATAAAATATGAAATAGTTCATTAAAATGTATATTATAATCAATAATAAGATGTTCAATAGGACTAAAATTATTATAAGCAATATGTAATAGTCCATCTGTCATAGCACTACCATCACCAAGTGATAATTTACAATATTTTAATGCTGGTAAACGAAATAGTTTATTATACATTATAATTCTATCACAATCATTTTTAAATGAGGCAATAATTAACGTTGAAAGTTGTGGTAATGAAACCAAATAATCGAGAGCATCGTTACAATCATCTGAATCAATATTTTTCAAATAAAGTATTTTAAGTTGAGTAAATAAAATATCATTTTTAATAGATGAAAATATTAAATTGATAATAAATGGATTTGAAATATAAAGTGAATGAATTCGATGATTATTGTATTTAAAAAATTGTTCATAATGTTGTTGAAATGATGATTTCGATATATTAGAAAGATTGATTTCAATTGGAAAATTTGATAAAGTAAAAAGATTTCGAAATCTTATATTTAAATTGCTAAATATTTCATAAGCATGATACGTATCAAGAAAATCAAATACTTCATAGATTATTTCATTAGAAAGTTCTTCAAAATTAGTACAACCATTTCGTTTCATTTTCAATACTAAAAAAAAGAAATTTCTATGAGTCATATCAAAAGCTATGTATATTACATGAAATTATATTGAATGATGAAGTAATAAATGATTGTCGTCATTTTTATACAATTATTTTCGATTGAGTAATTGGATTTTTCCCAATTGATATGAGTAAAAAAGTGGCTCTTACGATGTATGTGTTGTCATGTGATGATGAAATATATTATTTTTCTTTTTCGTTTCTTTTTTTAAGGAGTTTTTTCTTGTAACATAATCCAACAGGATTATTTTATTAGTAACAATGCGAATTTCTATGTGATTCAATTTGTTTTTCAAATTCTTTGTTGAATAATGTGTGCGTGTCAACTTTAGCGAATACCCACATTTTTCATTCATAAACTTCTTTATTTCTTAGAAAGAGTTATAATGGTGATGGGTGGGGTGTGGGTGTGAGTGTGAGTGTATTATAGATATAATATTCATACCCACACCCACACCCTTGATTTTACGATTCAATGAAGATATTTTATAAGGCCGAATAGAATTGTCCTTATAGAAAATGATTATATGGTGCCGAATAAATTTTTCTGTAATATTAACAATATTTTGCTCCATATATTTAGTCGTTTTCATATTTGATTATTTATACAAAAATATATATTCTAGAATCCAGAAAGTAGACAAACAACATGTTTTCATTTTGATTGGGAAAAGGAATATTATAAGTAAAAACCATCTTGACGGGTGGATGTGAATGCCAGTATTGAATAAATCAGATATCCACACCCTTTGGGAAGACTCCTTTTTAAAAATTTTTGCTCACAAAAAATTATTTCTAAATTTTTATTTAAATATTTCGAATCAAAAAAAGGAGGGTGTGGGTGTGGGTGTTATAATCTTTTCTCCAACTATATCATCTTCGACGCTCACACCCACACTCTATTAATAATGATCATCTTGTCGATCGACAGTTAATATTGGAAAGCAAATATTTCAGGAGAGCAAGTGCCGCCGGGGAGCAAATGTCGTTGGGGAGCAAATGTCCGTGGGGAGCAAATGTCTGGAGAGCAAATGTCGTTGGGGAGCAAATGTCCGTGGAGAGCAAATGTCGCGAGAGCAAATGTCCGGGGAGCAATTGTCGCGGGAGCAAATGTCTCGGGAGCATCTTTCATGGATTCAAATTTTATCAATAATAAGTGAGAAAGGTGTGAATGCTAATATATTTTTGCCTACTTACTGATTCTTTCGATCAATATGAATACTTTTTTTTCTATATTTTAAATAAAACGGATTCTAAACCATCAGCATCAATTATTACAAAACAAAAATACAAAAAACTCGTCTCGAACTAAAAAAACAACAAAACGAAATAATCATTCTCTTGAAGAGAATAGTGGGAAAAAAACAGTCTCAAAAAAGATTAAGAAACTATATCAATAATTGCTTTTCTTTTTAACAATAATATCAATTTCATTCATTTAACTACTTCATATATATCAAAAATAAGTATTTCTTTAAATCTCAGGATTACATTACCAAGATCACGTTTTCATTGTTGTATAAAAGGATGCTCTTAGTTTATAAAATCACTTATTTTGAAACGAATAAAAATATATTATCACGATACAGACAAGTCAAATTATAAATGAATCGATTTATTATTGTGCCTTTGGTGTTTTTAATTCTTGGTTCGACACTATGCGAGGTAAAGTTTTTGTCTTAATCGAATATCTTAACATCCGAAATAATTTACTTTTCATATGACTAGAGTGATGAAGCTATGTGTCGTCAAAGGACTGCTGCTCACACGTGTGCATCAATGGATTGTTCACCATTTATGTATGTCCGCGCTTATGAAGAATATCCATGCGACTGCTATGATATCGAAAAACTTCCACATAAAACAAAAATATGGTATCATATTGAAACATCTAAGGGAAAGTATGGCTATGTACTCGGCGATCACTGTTGGGCCTCAGTTCCACAGTGCAAAAGTTAATGTCTATATTCTTGCCATCATTAACATTTGTTGTCGAGTTCTTTTTGAGAATTATTTTATCCTATCTGTTAATGTGGATATTTTGTGTATGTTATTCATTTTTTTTTCAAATAAAAAAAGCTATTTGACTGTGCCTCTACGATTTACACATGTTTTTAATTATTATATTATAGTAGCGAGAGTACCATCTTGAGGGTGTGGGTGGGTTTTGGCATGGGCGCGGATATAGGTATATGGGTGTGGATGAAGAGAAGATAGACATCCACACCCACACACACCCACACCCTAAGGCATACTATACTTATGGTAAGAAGAAAAACTTGTTTTTATACAATATTTAACGTGCTCCTGTAGCATAAGCGGTAAATGCATCCGGCTGTTAACCGGAAGACAGGTGGTTCGAATCCACTCGGGAGCTTCATTCCTTTTTTTTTCTCATAATTCTATTTGATATTATGTTGAAAATAAGTGGGCTATTGCGAAAGCTTTCGTCATTTATAACCAAGAACACACCAAATACCTGTATGACTCATAGTTTTTTCTTTCTTTACTTCTACACTGTACTCAAAATTTCGTAATTTAACGAACATAATACATGTATGTGTCAGGCAGAATTAAGGTTTAGGCAAAATTAAACTTGATTTTAAAATGATTCTATGATCATATGATTTTAAAAATTTTCAAAAAATAATTCAGTTGTTATTATTATTTTAAATTTTTCAAAGTTGTAAAGTTCTTAAGTTGTATTCAAAAAAAAAGAATATAATTTTAGAAAGATGTAGAGTTTGCAGGTTATATTTGTTGCAAATGACTTTGAAATTTAGTTGAGTTTGAAATAGGTTTAAACTTAATAGAATAATTTTTTTTTGGAAGTTTTTATTGTATTTTATAGCTATAAGCTATTTATAAATAGAACTAGAAGAAGGTTAGTTTTAATTTTATAAAATTATCATATTTCCACTAATAATAAATTGCATGTAGATTTTAAGAAGAATTTTTATGATAATAGAGTATTTCCGATTACCTAGAATTGATTTTGTTAGTTTTTCATTTTTAAATATATTAACTATTTTTTTGTTAATGGGGACATGGGGACATTGATTATTAGCTAGAAATGAATTGTTGAGTATTTATTATATTATATTTTTTTTATGACAATAAGATTAGAACATTGATCGTAATTGATGAAAAATAATACTGTAAATATAAGACAGTTTACGAAGATTTTTTTCTTCTATGATTGTGATTTCATAAGTATTTTGTCGAATCGGTTATATAGGAAAAGACATGAATATTTTCAGTTAGATAATGTTTATTACGTGTGATGATAAAATCAAAGAAAGAAATATGATAAACAGATTTTAAAGCTTACGATCACATTCAAGAAAAAATGAAAGTCAGTAGTTAAATAAACATAACGCAACGGAGACGTGCGATTGTGTATTATTTTCTCATTAAATACTTCCATCGAATAGTAATATTTGAATTATAAAAACAAAATACATCGATTTATCTAATTAAAAATGTCGTCATAGCTTATGTTTAATCATTATATGTTTCATAGTAACGAACCTTGATAAATAGAATACAGTTCATTTACACAAGCGACATAAACATTTAATTTAGTAGAGCTCAGCAAAAATTTTTAATATAGGACATTTATGGGAATAATAATTTTAGGAAAACTATGTAATAATATATTATGAGATGAGACGACTAATTATTTTATATTTTTATAATACTAAACGTTGAATAAATTAGTATATAATAAATGACGAGCACACAAAAACACAAAAATTTTCGGAAAAAATCAAATATATGATACAATGAGCTCGCTCAATTTCTTATTCAACGTTTTTAATATGTTTTTTTTGGAAACTACTATATAAATTGTTTGTTTTATTCTAACAAAAGAATCTTGCCCGATATTTTTTGTTTTAATTCTAAATGACGAGCACAGAAAAAATCGAAAAAATATATGATACAATGAATCGCCTAATTTTTTATTAGTTGGTCTTAATATGTTTCTTTTGTTGGACGATACTATACAAATAATCTATTTTATTATAATAGAAAAATGTTTTTCGATATTTTTTTTCGACCAAAAAAAACAAAATTCAAATTTTCGCGCGGAAAGAAAACCAAGTTTTGCCTGTTTAATTTTGCCTAAAACTTAATTTTGCCTGGGACATGTATATTACTGTCGCTAGAAATGTTTATTGTACCATGTTGAGGGTACGAGTGTTTTCGCTCTGTACACCCACACCCTATTTTCTTCTGCATCGTTTCCTTTCCTCAGAGCAAAAGTTCTAAGCAAATACTACCAGCAGAATGCAGGTTTAGCTGAAAAACGAGCAGTTTTATTTATGGTATTTATCAAAAATTGCACTACAAGAAAAAAATAAATTCGTTCTAGAAATATATTCGATATTAACTTCTATGGTTTTCTATCTCTTTCATTGCGTGCAACATATTCATTGATTTCACGTTCGGTGTCGTCTCCGGTTTTATTACCTCTGAGACCTAGTGCGATGAGTGTCTAGACGAAAAGGTACAGGTAAAAACATGGTATCGATGAACACAAAAATGAGAGTTACTGTGTTGTGTCGTAATAAATCAGTCAAATGTTGTGCTCCAACATCTCCGATTTGATTCCATTGGAGATTTAGTGTGGTGAGTGTCTAGATGAAAAAGCGTAGATAAAAATATGTTACAGATAAAGAGAGTATGGTAATTACTGTGTTATGTCTTAATCCATCAGCCAAATGTTGCATTTCAGCATCTCCGATTATGTTACGTTCTAGGTCTAGCGTGCTAATTGTCTATAAGGAAAAGTGTGGCTGAATATATATAATATCGATGAAGAGAAAATGAGAATTACTGTATTGTGGCGTAATCCATCAGCCAGATGTTGCACTCCGACACCTCTGATTATATTATATCCTAGATGTAGCGTAGTGAGTGTCTAAAGGGTAAAGTGTGACTAAAGACGTAGTATCCATGAAGAGAAAATGAGAATTACTTTGTTGTGTCGAAATCCATCAACCAAATGTTGTACTCCAACATCTTTGATTATATTATATCCTAGATCTAGCGTGCTGAGTGTCTATAGAGAAAGTGCGGTTAAAGACATGGTATAGATGACGAGAAAATCAGAATTACTTTGTTGTGCCGTAATATATCAGTCAAATGCTGTGCTCCAACATCTCCGATATTATTGTAGGAAAGGTTCAACTCGGTGATTGTCTATATAACAATGAAATTATAATCATCAGTGGAACAAACAGAGAAATAATATTACTTCATTGTTAATTAGTGCATCAGTCAAAAATTGCATGTCAATATCATCAATACTCTTCGAGCAAAGATCCATTTTAGTGATTGTCTTCAGAAAAGGTAAAAAATTGTAAGAAGGAATTTGGAAATACGAATTACTTTATCATTTCGTATTTGAATTGCTGCACTCACAGTTGTGCAATACCTACTAGGATTTCCTTCAAAGCTCAATTTGACAAGTGTCTACGCCAAAGAATGAAGATATTTAAGATAAATGAAAAGTATTGAAGGTTTACTTTGTTTTCTTTGAAGGCATTATGAAGATATTGTGCTCCATTGTTTCCAATTTGATTGTGGGAAAGGTTTAGAGTAGTGAGTATCTATAGAGGCAAAGTAAAAATTGTTATGATATCAAATGTGAGTGAGCTATCACTTTGTTGTCTTTTAATGCATCAGCTAAATATTGTATTCCAATATCTCCAATTTTATTCTGAGAAAGATTCAGCTCAATGATTGTCTATATCACAGTGAAACTATAATCATCAATGAAACAAATAGAGAAATGATGTTACTTCATTGTTAATTAGTGTGTCAGTCAAAAATTTCATCACAATGTCATTGATACTCTTTCCATGAAGATCCATTTTAGTAATTGTCTTCAGAAAAAGGCAAAAAACTTATGGGAAGAAATGTAGAAGAAACGAATTACTTTGTCATTTCGTATTTGAATTGCTGCACTCACAGTTGTACAATAGCTGCTAGGATTTCCTCCGAGGTTCAATCTGATAAGTGTCTATGCCGAAAAATAACGATAATTAAGGCAAATGAGAAGTGTTGAAGGTTTACTTTGTTCTGTTTGAATGCATCATTAAGATATTGTGCTCCGTTGTTTCCGATTTGATTCTGGGAAAGGTTTAGAGTAGTGAGTACCTATGGAGGAAAAGTAAGAATTATTATGATACCAAATGTGAGTGAGCTATCACTTTGTTGTTTTTTAATGCATCAGCTAAATATTTTATTCCAATGTCACTTATATTATTTTTCCGAAGAGTCAACTCAGTAATTGTCTATATCGTAATAAAACATATAATCAATAATTAGATTACTTAATAAAATCTCTTACTTTGTTGTTGTATAATTCATTTGCTAATAATTTTATTTCATTGTCCCCATATTGTTTCATTCGAAGATCTATACTAGTGAGTGTCTGTCAGAAAAACGTTAGTTGTTGAGTAAAAAGTCAATCAATCTTAAAAGACCTTATCATTTCGTATCCCAATTGCTATCCCAATAGCTTCACAATATTTACTCGTATTCCCTGTTAGTGTTACTTTTGTTATTGTCTGAAGGGAAAATAAAATTAGTTAAATGAAGAATATTATGTTATAAACCAACTTTGTTGGTTTCCAATGAATTGAATAGTTGTTGTGCCCCAATATCTGTAATTGCATTGCTCGAAAGGTCAAGTGCAATCATTGTCTGTTCAAAGCGAACAATATCAATAAAAATAATCAAATGAGTCAATAAAAACATTTTACAGTATTGTTTCGTAGCATGTCGGCTAAATATTGTACTCCAACATCGCTTATTCCATTATTCGATATATTCAATTCTGTGATTGTCTACATCACAATGAAAAATCTAATTAATACTTAAATAAATTAAGATAATAAATTACCGCATTATTTTGTAAAACATTAGCTAAATACTGAGTTCCAGTGTCACCAATATGATTCCCTAAAAGATCCATTATAAAAATCATCTGTGTCAAATGAAAAAAATAATCATTAGGGTAGAAAATTCTATAATAAATTTCACCTGATTTGTTTGCAATAGACCACTTAAATATTTTGCTCCAATATGTCCAATTTTATTCTGGGAAAGATTCAGTTCAATGATTGTCTATATCACAATGAAACTATGATCGTCAATGAAACAAATAGAGAAATGATGTTACTTCATTGTTAATTAGTGTATCAGTCAAAAATTTCATGGCATTGTCATCGATACTCTTTCCATGAAGATCCATTTTAGTGATACTCTTTAGAAAAAGGTAAAAATTTATGAGAAGGAATTTTGAAGAAACGAATTACTTTGTCATTTCGTATTTGAATTGCTGCACTCACAGTTGAACAGCAGCTACCAGGATTTCCTTCGAGGTTCAATTTAATAAGTGTCTATGCCAAAGAATGACGATACCAAAGACAAATGAGAAGTGTCGAAAGTTTACTTTGTTTTCTTTGTAGGCATCATAAAGATATTGTGCTCCGTTGTTTTCGATTCGATTGTGTGACAGTTCTAAAGTGGTAAGTGTCTATATATAAAGTAAAAAATAGATATAATTTAAATGAGTCTAAGAAATATCTAACTTGATGGTTTTTTAATATGTTAGCTAGATGTTGTGCTCCAATGTCTCCAATTTCATTATGTGAAAGATCGAGTGTAGTTAATGTCTGAATGATAAATAAAAGATGAATTTCAGTGTAATGAATTTGAAAAATATGTCACTTTGTAGTTTAGTAGCGCCACAGTTACATGTTGTATTAGATTGTCTTCGATTCGATTGCTGGAAAAATTTAAATAAGAGGGCGTCTATATGAAAACATAACAATATACATCATGAAATACAAAGAGGGATGAAAAATCTTAGATATAATCGGCACTGAGCCTTATCACAACAGATTGTAACCTATATGATCGTTCTTATACGTATACGAAGATTGTATCAGACTTACCTCTTCTTTGCTACTATAGCTTCTATTGTAATTCTCATGCAAAATTAAGCAACATTTAGGGTTTGTTGACGATACTTCAAATATAGGTGACTCTGTTTGAACCGTAACTTCTATGCAGATTGGTGTTGTATAAAGTATGATTCTCGATTGTCGTAAAATATAACCACAAATAACAAACCAATTTTTGTTGTTGAGCCAGAACGGACTTTGAAATGGTAAGATAAGTGAATCTAAAGTAGTAGTGTCATCGAATTTCTTGTTAGTACAAGTGAGAAAAAATTGAAATTGATTCAGTAAAAGTAGCTTTTCTTGAATGAATTCTTCCCAATAAGAACCATCGAATATCGAATCGAATGTCGATCTCGATGAAACCAGTTTCAGATGATTAAGTGATGGTGTCAGTGTAAGAAGGCATTCGAGCTGTTGGGTTAATAGTCTGCATTTACCAATCGTCAATGAAACCAAATGCGGATACACTGTTAAATCAAAGCATAGGGTATGTAATATTTTTCATTAGTAAACCTGAATTTGATTGAAAATTAGAAATGTTTGAAAACATGATGAACTAGAATATGACTACGCAAAGTTGAGTAAGAGTAAAAATATTTTTCTTCGACATATTTACTTTATAAATTATTCAGGTGAATACTTCTCATTGGTAGCTATTAATTTTGTCGAAAGAAGAAAAATCAAAGTAAAGTGTTGAGAATGGGGTGGAAAGCAGTACAGGTGTGCTAAAAATACTTTTAGTATTTTTTTCTATACAAAAACTTTTCATTAAGAGCTTTTTCGTGTTCCTAATTCAGAATTAATGACTAATTCGAATAATAAAATGTCCTTCATATATCACCTCTTTAGTCAATCTACGATTACTGTATTGCATAAAATGAGTTTAGTTTTAATTGAACGAATGATTCATACTCTATATAGAGAATACATATGGCAGTATAATAAAGTCTAATAGAGTACGAATCGATAAAATTGTTTTGTTAAGTGAAAACTATCCCAAACAGTACTCGTCGTTCGGACTCGTCTAATCGGATCATAACTTGATTCAAAAGATTCATGGAAGCACTCTTTTAGACTGTTGTTAGTCTCAGCGGAATCTTTTTGTGAGCCTAATATAAGTTCAAACGATAAGTATTTCCGTAGCTTTAGGCATCCGGAAAGAACTACTATCTATACGATGAAACAGATGATGTTTGAAAGATACACATTTAACTTTGTACCTGTAGAATCAAATGTTGTAACTGAATATGAAGAAACTGTTTGATCATTATTGTCCATAATACAATTTCTAATAACAAGTGTTCTTAGACGAAGTGAATTACAGAGAATGGTACGATACTGGCGATAGGTACAATCTCTGATTGTCAGATGTTCCAATGTACTTTGAATAGGCCACGCTATTTGATTAGTTGTATAATTTAGATCATTTAAACGCAGTTTTTGAAGATTAGTCTGAGCGACAACTGGAAAGATGATTAACAAGGCTTCATCGGTATTGCAGCTGACTCCATGAAAAGTCAATGAACGAAGTCTAGTGAATTGGGTAATGTCGAAGTCTGTGAGAAAAAAATTAGTGAACCATTGGTGATCATTGCCACTATAAAATATTAGTGAAGTAACGTTGAAAGATTGAATGAGATGTGAAATAATTTTAAAAGAAGAATTTCTGTTTGAACTGGAGTTTTCAGTTGAACCGAACTTGAGTTGAAAACAATTATAGCAGTTGACAACTGCATGAAGTTGTCTACAAACAGAACGGATAGAAAGAACAATGGTCTCCGCATCGAGATGATCAAAGATACGATGCAAAAGTTCAACTGGCAAATAGACAAGCGACGAGTTTGACATTTATCTAAAAACTTAGAATAAATTAATAAGTTCTAGACTAAATGATTACTCCTTCGTAAAAATATGATTTTATGGCACTTTACACTGAAAACAAAGTTGATAAGAAACTAAACTTACAGAATTGTGACGGTATTCAAACCTTTTTTAAATTCTATCTCGTATCTGGTTATTTTCACTTTAAAGCGCAAGCAATGCGCATATAATAAAATACCCACTAACTTATCTTTTATCTTAGACGTACGTGCATGTAACATATAATTTCTTGTCCCATGTTAATGACAACACATATACAAATACTCCAAACGTTATCAAATCTGCAGAACAGAAACTCTGCCTTTAAAACAAACTAAACAAATTATTCGCTTATACATTCTTGAGGGTGTGAGTGCGGGTGGGATTGTAAGTGTGTGTGAGAGAGGAAGAAACCCAAACCCTCAAGAATCAACGTAATCGATAATGAGCATCGACGTTGTTCTCATTAACAACAGTACCAAAAACTTTCAATGGATATGATGTTCGTAGCACATTGGATTTAAGTAACCAATATGGATTAATTAATCACAATAATAATAATAGGAGTTCAAACTTCATTTAAGGAGATACTATTGTATGAAATGCAACGAGACAAACAAATGTGCGATATTAACATTTATTTGCATGAATCAGTCTCGATATCAACAGAATAGTTTATCTACTTTGTATTCATTCGATGACTAAAAGAATTTTATGATACTCATTGTCAAGAGTATATTCATCATAAAATGAAAGATTACTATCAACATTTTTCTCAAACGAAATAGCTTATCGATATCATAAAAACAAAATGTTATAGTTTTTCGTCAAGCGATATTCTTATTGAGAAAAATTTCATCGACAAATGATGAGTAGATAAAAAGTTTTCAGACAAAATGTTTCTTCATTTTTCAACCGATTGAGTGAAAAAAAACAGTTTGAGGGGAGACTGTTACAATAACGGATTCAGAGAAGGAAAATGTGATTGTATGTCTCTTGCAATTGATTTTCTGCTATTTTTTCGTCGTGGAGGCGTCCTTATCCTTCTCAATAATAATGCCCCTTATTGAATACCTTCTATACGTTCTCTCGTAAGTAGTTTTGTTTTTGATTGATAAAAGATCAAGAAGGACCTAAACTTTTGTTTTTTTACGTTTTCTTCATCGGTAATAAATAAGTTATATTCATGCTATCGATAAGGTTGGCCGCTATATCGTTCTATACAACCACCAATTCCCATAGTCGTATATTCTTTACAACCAAATTTACTAACAACTGATCATTTATTCGTAATCTATTATAAACACTGATTTTTTTGTATTTAGAGGAGCCACAAATAACATATGTAAAAATATTTAAAGAAAAATCAGATTATAATCGGTTAAAATTTTGATAAAAAATCGATTTAAGTCATACACCTTTAATCGATTTTTGACATTTTTAACCAATTCTAATCGAATATAACCGAGAAAAACTCAGCTTTAATTGATTATTATGATAAACTACAATTATAATCGATTAAGAATTCACAAAAAAAAAATGATTGTAATCGATGAAAACCGAACTATATTTTTTCACTTGTTATTGGCAAAAATTAATTATAATCAATTTTTTATGAATTCTTAATCGATTTTAAATGTAGTCCGTCATAATAATAGATTAAAGGTATATGATTTGAATCGATTTTTGATCAAATTTTAACCGATTATAACCATTTTTCAGTTGATTTTTACATCAATTTTTGTTACATGGGAATCGCACTAAAAGCCATGTCGGCGTATTCTGATAAGAAACTTCATTGTGAAGGTCGTGCTTGTGCAAAATGTGGCCATTGTCGTGATTGGTGTTGGTGTCCAGATGGTGATAAGAAGGTTTATAAAAAGCGTAATGATGCTAAATGTTTTTATCAGTATGGTGGTTATCCTTATCATCTTGGTGGGTATGATCATTATTTTTATGATGATTATTTTGGTATTTCTTCTGGTGATGATGATTATGATCGTTATTGTTCTTCTCGTATTGGAAATGGTCCTTTATGTGAGTGTGAGGACAATCGTTTCTAATTTTAGGCACATTTGTTTTATTGCTTGATGATAATTATAGTTTTGTTTATCTAAATGGAATAAATCAAGAATTTGAAAGTTTGTCGTACATACTATTTTTGAATAAGCCTATATCATTGAGGGTGTGGGTGAATATCACTCTCCTACCTACACCCACACTCACCCACACCTATCTAATAATCTCTATTGACAAGAGTTTTCATTTCATCTGAGTATTCTTTGTACTAAACTATTAAATCTTGACAATACAAATTGTGAAATAATAATTATAAGGCATACTATACTTATGATAAGAAGAAAAACTTGTTTTTATACAATATTTAACGTGCTCCTGTAGCATAAGCGGTAAATGCATCCGGCTGTTAACCGGAAGACAGGTGGTTCGAATCCACTCGGGAGCTTCGTTCCTTTTTTTTCTCATAATTCTATTTGATATTATGTTGAAAATATTTGGGCTATTGCGAAAGCTTTCGTCATTTACAACCAAAAACACAACAAATACCTGTATGACTCATAGTTTTTCTTTCTTTACTTCTATACTGTACTCAAAATTTCGTAATTTAACGAACATAATACATGTATATTACTGTTATTAGAAATGTTTACTGTACCATCTTGAGGGTGTGAGTGTGGGTGCGAGTGTTTTCGCTCTGTTCACCCACACCCATACCCACACCCTTAAAAAAATCTGCATTCTCTCTTTGTGTTTCGCAGTAACAAATAGTGCCTTCCTTTGCCCATGAAACTTGAAAAAAAGAGCCAAACTTTCATAGTTCTTGTCACAAAATTCGATTGAAAATAAATGAGTTAGTGATATCTAGAGCTAAGATTGCGAGAGCATGGATGTGATAGTCATCTTACATGTACATCCGCATCCACTCCACACCCACACCCTAAAATCTTATTTCCATTTATTAGCGATAAAAGATAAAAAAAATTATTCATAGACATGACTGGAGAAAGGATAAAAGAAGCGAACATTATTTTATCTTGTTTTGTTGAGATACATAATAATTGTAGAGAATTTATTCGAATATTTAGTTTTTCTTTATCTCTCAAAATAAATTGAAAATCAAATCTTTTTAGTTCGACTTTTTTTGAATGTTGATTTATTTGACAATTGATCTTTGTTTTATTGTTTAAAAATTTAATTCTTAACAAAACTCAGAGAAAATAAATGAAATATCAATTGATCTTCTAAATCTTTTCCTTTTTATTTTATTTCGATAAAATATTGAAGAAAAAAGAAAAAGAGTTGACAACAACATTATGATCTCTCAATTGAAGAAGGAAAAGAAGAAAATGAAATTTAATTACAATGACGAATTTGTTTGTGAATAACTATTTCATTTATTTTCAAAATTAAATTTTTGTTATTATTAATAATTAAATCGATTGATCTTCAACTAAAATCGTTGAGTTTAATAAAAAAGAAGTTAAATGATTAAATTCGAAATAATGAAAAGTATATAATCGATATTCATCAAAAGATCTCTTTCCGCCCTCATCCTCTTTTTCAAACACAGTCAAAATTTAATTCATCGAAAAATGAAATAAAAACCCATCTGTTACAGTTATTCATTGATTCAGACAACTTCTTTTTCACAATAGTATACTCACCGTTCAAATATAAGTTGTTTTTATATGAAAGTATTTCGCTCACAGAATGTTTTGTAGAGAGGAGTTTGACTAAACCGAGGATGAATGTACCTATGCATTAATGATATATCAGATATTCTCAACGTTAATATGATGTCGACGAAATATTCTGCGCACTAATACAATTAGGCGAATAACATAATTCCCTCTATTTCATCACATTTTTTTGTTTGTGTTTTGAAAAGATATTTAGGGTGTGGGTGTGGATGTCAATGATATAGAAGACGATGCACCCACACTCTCACCCTCAAACATTTTTATGTTGGATCAGAAATATCTAATAATCTTTATTGACAAGAGTTTTCATTTCATTCGAATATTCTTTCTGCTAAACTATTAAATCTTGACAATACAAATTGTGAAATAATAATTATAAGACATACAATATTTAACGTGCTCCTGTAGCATAAGTGGTAAATGCATCCGGCTGTTAACCGGAAGACAGGTGGTTCGAATCCACTCGGGAGCTTCATTCCTTTTTTTTCTCATAATTCTATTTGATATTATGTTGAAAATAATTGGGCTATTGCGAAAACTTTCGTCATTTATAACCAAAAACACAACAAATACCTGTGTGACTCATAGTTTTTCTTTCTTTACTTCTATACGGTACTTAAAATTTCGTAATTTAACAAACATAATACATGTATATTACTGTTATTAGAAATGTTTATTGTACCATCTTGAGGGTGTGAGTGTAGGTGCGGGTGTTTTCGCTCAGTACACCCACACTCACATTCATCCACACCCATACTCACACCCACCCATCCCACGCCGACACCCACACCCACCCCACCCCACCCACATCCACACCCACACCTACTCAACTTCAGCTTAGTTGAATGTATTTATTTTTCTGTAAGCAAAAGAGAAAAAAAAGATTTAGAGTTCATTTTTGACATTTTCTATGTATTGTTTGCTTGATTCAATGTCGAAATGGTTCAGTGGTAGTACTTCCTGGTATAATTTAAGTGCTTTTTCATGAAATAAAAGTGCTTTCGAATATTCTTCTATGTCCATATAAACTAAACCAATTTTATTGTAAGATTTTGCCATGAAAGAAAGATTCGGTGGGACTAGTTGTTGATTTGTCTTAAGAGCTCTCTCGTGAAATGATAGAGCTTTCATATTTTCACCCATCTTATGATATGTTGAACCAATATTGTTGTAACATTGAACTAAATCAAGATGATATGACAAATGTATTTCGTTCAAGATTGACAAAGATTTTTCAAAAAATGAAAGTGCATTTGAATATTCGCTCATATTGTAATAGATCATCCCCATAGAGTTGTAGGACGTACTTAATAAAACATAATTGCGAGGAAATGTTTGTTCGTAGATTTTATGAACTTTTTTCGAAATTGTAAGTGATTTTATGTAGTCTTCTATGCTAATATATGTGCAACGCATATTATCAAAGGGTGCAGTCAGTAAAGAATGATTTGGAATGAAAAGTCGTTCGTTAATTTTGATAGATCTTTCAAAAAAAGAAATAGCCTCTGTATATCTTCCAGTGCTAGAATGAACTATTCCAATATTGTCATAAGATTTAGCCAAATTGGAATCATATGTAGGTGATAATTTCTCTAAAATTTCAATGGATTTTGTAAAAAATGGAATTGCTTTCGTATACTCTTTCATCACATAATAGATAAAACCAATCATATTATAACGTTCACTAGAAGTAGCATCATCGACAGGAAGTATCTGTTGTTGAATTTCGAGAGCTTTTTCATAAAATAAAAGTGATTTTGTGTACTCTTCGATGTTGTAATAAATTAAACCAATGTTGCTGTAAACGTTAGCTAATTGAGGATAAGACGGAGGTAATGTTTTCTCCAATATTTCAAGACATTTTTCCATAAACAACAATGCTTTCGAATATTCTTTCATATTAATAGATGTCATACCGATATTTTTGTAAGTGTCAGCTAAGTCATGAGAATTCGATGGAAGGATTTGCTCGTAGATTTCTAGTGTCTTTTTATAAAAAGCAAGTGCTTTTGGATATTCCATTATATTATTGTATATTAAACCTAAACTCTTATACGATGTCGCCAACGAAATATGATCAGAAGGGAGTCTTTCAAGATATATTTCATGTGCTTTTTGTATAAATAATAGTCCTTTAGAATATTCTCTCATATAGTAATATGTGCCACCGATGTTAGTGTAAGAAGACGCCAGTTTCAAATAATTCAAAGGAAAAGTTTTTTCTTGAATTATCAAGGCTCTTTCAAAAAATGAAATTGCTTTTACATATTCCTTCAAGTTGTAATATCCCAAAGCGATATTTGTATGCCATGTAGTCAATTCAAGATGATCTCGAACAAAATCTTTTTCAATAATTTCAAGAAGTTGTTTGAAAAATATAAGAGCTTTCTCGTGATCATCAATTGACATATACGCGAAACCTATGGCATTGTATGATGTTGCGAGTGCAGCATAATTCATCGGAATGGTTTGTTGATAGATTTTGAGTGCTTTTTCATAGTATAGAATCATCTTCTCATATTCTTTCATATGATAGTGTATTGTGCCAATATTTTCATAAATATTTGTCAGATTAAAATGATCCGATGGTAGAATTGCTTGCCACATTTCTAGTATTTTCTCATAAAAAATTAATGCTTTCGAATATTCGCCCATTATTTCGTACAATACAGCAATATTCTTGGACGATGTGATTAGTGCGGATAAATTTCGTGGACTTGTTTGTTCATGAATTTCGAGAGATTTTAGATAATATAAAACTGCAGTGGAATAATCTTTCATTTGATAGTATGTGAAGCCAATATGATCGTAAGTAATGGTTAACTCTACATGATTAATTGAATGAGATGTTTGTTGAATTTCTAAGTTTTTTTCAAAAATTGAAAGTGCTTTTGCATACTCTTTCATATTCAGAAAAATGACACCAGCACTGTTGTAAAAAATAGGCAAATTAGCATGGCATGATTTGTCCTCAATAATGTAGTCAGAAGTATTCAACAAAAGATCATCGGTAAGAGATATGTTTTGACAAATTTTTATAGCGATTTCAATGTGAAAAAGTGCTTTTGGATATTCGCCTATTTGATAATAGACCACACCAATCTTATTGTGAGTCTTAGCTAATAAAGACCGATCTGATGGAAATATTTGTTTGTAGATTTTCAGCTCTTTCTCAAGAAATGAAAGTTCGTTTACATAATCACCCATGCTTTGATAGAGATTACCAATATTTTCGTAGTATGTCGCTAGTCTAATATCATTTGGAGAAAATATTTGTTCATAAATTTGAAGAGCTTTTTCGTAAAATAATAATGTTTCCGGCTGTTGTCCTAAATTATAATATGCTGAAACAATGTTATTATAACATTCAGCTAATTCGGATTGACGAAAAAGAAATTTTTGTGTGAAAATTTCAACAGATTTTTGATAATAAGATAATGCTTGTGTGTAGTGACCCATATTATGAAATGCTATACCAATACATTTGTAACATGTAGCCAATTGAGAGTCTTTCGAAAGAAATGATTTTTCGAGCATATCAATGTTTCGTTGACAATTAGTAATAAATTTGTAGTATTCATTCTCCTGTAAATTTTTCTCAGGGCAAGAACACGATGTTGCTCTATGATAGTCATTAAATGTCAAAGCAATTATTACTCGAGTACTTTCTTGAATTTTACTCTCATGATTTAAGCTTCTAAGATGTTGTTCTATTCGTTGCCATTCTCCTGAATTACTGACTACTGGTATGATTTTTGGTATGATGTTATAAACTGTGAAATCGTCGTCATTGATAAGGGTAAGTTCTACACGCCAGAATCGGTTGTTTTCTTCCAATGGTTGAATGTCGATAATACGAAACATAGTCTGTATGGAAAATAGTATTTCCTCTTCGGATGAACCGAAGGCTATTTCGTTATTAAGACGCGCAAAAGGAATAGTAGACAGCATTGGATTAATTGTCATAACAAACAAAATACCAATTAAATCTGATTTTTGTGAAATTTTATGAGCGATTTCAAAAGATAATTCATAATTTTTACTTGTGCATAAGAAATTATTGAAAGATATCAATCCATTTTTAGTTTGTTTTAAATTTTCAAAATCTTGATCGGTTAATTCTTGACTATGATAGACAATAAAAGAATCGTGATCATTTATAGATTGTTCTCGATAGAGCTTTTCGATTTGTCGATGAATGTCATTAAGGAAAAATTTCATCGTAGCGATAGTATCCATATCTAAGGATCGTAATGCTTGTGTAAGTATGGAATTAAGACAGTATGCATACGTATACCACCAAATAGCTGTCTGATGATTATATTCCAGATCAAATTTTTCCATCACTTTAACTATTACATGATTATGTGAATATTGTTCACGATAATATTTCGCTATTTTTTTTACTTGATGATGGGAATGATTATCGATATTAAATATAGTCTTTTTTAAAAGATAAATGTATGTAAAAGATTGATCTAATATTTCATTTGAGAAAATAAAACTTATGTCAATTGAATCTTGTATTGTTTGTTTTAATGCGTTACAAATGACTGCAGTTTCGGTATAAATACCAGTTACCTTTGACCAATTTTTAATCAATTGATCATCATATGATTCATGTTGCAGTAAGATATAAATAGAATTAACTTGTGAAAGGTGATGAATACGCGACATGATAGAATCACTGATAGGACCATGAATAATCAAAAATATTTTTGCATGTTCATTTTTCATTAAAAACTCAATGTATTGATCGATATCGACAAACAGATTGATGCCATCAACAATAGGTTCTAATTGTATTATCGAATTGTACAAATTTGTTTTCAATTCCTTGATATTGAAATCGTATATAACAACAAGTCGTTCTTCATATTTTTTACAAACACCATTGTGAATAGCATAATATTCATCAATCAATGATTGACTTAATTCACGCCAATTATAATCAAATCTCATACAAACATTATTATCCGTTTGTCCAAGATTTAATCCCATAAGAATAAAGAAAATCATCTTCATTATAAATGTCATTCGTGATAAATAAATTTTATTTTTCTATCGCAGTTACTACAAATAATAATGCAAACTAGACATATATATATATATATCTTCGTTTTGTAAAGAAAAAAAACGGAAGTAGCAAATCGAGTATAGAAAGAAAATTTTTTGTAGTTCTTAACTTTTTTTTCATCATATTCGTATAGACACAAATGTACGATATGTGTGCAATCAACCGAGAAAAATAAAGAAAAAACGAAAAAGATTAGAAAATCAATGCAGTGCATTCAAGCATCCACGTGTATATATATATCTAAAATATTTCGTTTTTCTGAGAAAGAGAAGATATGAATGGAAGTAAATATTATAAATGATCATTAATAATTTCAAATCGATTAATCCAATTCATAACTGTCATTTACTTGTACATGGGAAACTGATCATCTTTATATGTAGAATGTTTATTGATGTTAATACTCTGCTAATTGAAAGAATAAACGAGTAATTCGATGAAGAAAAACATTTTCTTTAAATATAAGAATCTCTCTCAAATAATATAATTAAGATTTTATTGATTTATTTTTATATGTAAATGATTATTTACTTGAAAATGTTATTAAAAAAAAATATATAAAATTAGTTTGTTTTTTTGAGATATTTTCATATTGTATTAGATTCTAGGGTGTGAGCGCGATATCTGAAAAAGATAATGCTCACACCCACACCCTCAATTTGCATAATTATCGGAATTTCTTCATAATACTTTTGTGTGAGCAACGACAAGGTAGCATTCATTTGCAAACGATTTCATCAGTAAACAAAAGTCGATGTCTATGCAATGGTAACCTAACAATGCTCTTAAATTGACGACACAAGGCATCTATTACTTAATGTTGCATAGGAAGAAAAAAAATGTTTGTGTTTTGTTTATACTTTTTTTGAGTGTGGAGAATGAAAGAAACGATTTCAATACATTTTTCATATTGAATTATTTTATTTGGTGCTTTTGCAGAATGGGTTGTTGCTGTGGCAAAGGTAATTCAGCGGTTGGTCCACTTAGTAATATTAAGTTTACGTCACTGAATGGTGCAAACTCAAACAAAAATATAGAATCATCTCGATTTAGTAAAATTGGAATTAGCACTACTAATCCTCTTTTACTTATTAAAGGTTATAAAAATAAGCCTTTATTACCACTTGAAGAAGCACTCAAACCTTTCAATGGAAAAATTCCTCATCTAGATGAACAAATTAAAGAAGCAAAATCCAAATGTCATTATCCATCAGAACATAATCTTACTCACGATGAATCTGCTGCTATTTATCTGTATTCGATGGGTGGCAATGAAAATTCGGTTTATAATCGTTTACAAAAATCATGGGCATCGAATAGTCGAACACAAATGAAACCATGGTTCAAATATTTGAAATTACTGAAGACTGGTTTAAATAAATTATCTAATGTCGAAGTAGAAGCTTGGCAAGGAACATTTTATGATAAAAATTTAGAGAAAACACTTACATCGAACTCATTAAAGTTATACACTTGTATGAGTCCATGTTCACCATCTGTTCAACAAGCCAAGAATGATATTCATGGTCATGCAAATTCAAAGAAAATATTAGTTGGATACAGATCTGTTAATGGGAAAGATGTCACCAGTTATACAGTTAACAATCAAAAGGAAATAATGATTTGGCCCGGAATAAAACTGAATAGATCAAAAGAAAACGAACATGATGAACATGGCTCTTTGATCTTCCATCTGACAGGCAGAAAAAGTAAGTGAAACTGTTAATTTTATCAAAATTGTGTTATGAGAAGGTTAGCGACTCTTGATGCTGTACAATATAATAAATAGAACTTCTCGGGTATGTTTTTCAGTTAAATTATTAACGTATAGAATCTGTCAGAAAATGCATGAACTCGACTATTTTGCTGCAGTCTAAAAACTTTTTTACACAATTATAAAGTCAGTTTAATTTCGAGACTTAGATTTTATATATATGTGATATGCATAACTGTAAACAAATGTTTTAATAGATTCACGACGAAAAAAAGTAAATCAACGTGAAAAGCATTTCGTATGTCCAACGATTTATTGTCATAATTATTGCCGTGGTGGTCATGCTCTTAATCATTGTTACGGTTTTTCTCATCTATCTCATCAATGTTCACATCATTGTGGTCCCATTAGCAAATGTTTTCTCTGTAGAAAACATCTTCCAAACTTACGTGAATGCAAACAATGTCATGTAGTTTTCTGCGAAGAATGTTCTACTCAATAAACATACTCTGTTCAACATTTACAAAAACTATCCAACAATTGATCTATAAAAATGAATATTTTTTATGACTGTAGTTTGTTTTGAATTTTTCATATTTTTAAAAAGAACAGAAATGAATAAATATAAAACAGTATCATCAAATGGAACTAAGAGTGGGTGTGGGTGTGAATTCATCTTTTATTTACCCGCACCCACACCCTCAAGAACAGTCGAAATATCTCACTTACAAATCATTCTTATTTGTTTTTATTTATTTATTTATTTACAAGACATTAAAAAAAATTAAACAATATTTATTTATCATTAGATATTTCCTTATCGTCTACATAATAATAGTTTTATATCAACTCACTTTATTTATACATCCTCACCATCAGGCCCTCGCCTTCAGGTTCTTATCTTCAGATCCTCATCCTCAAGTCCTCACACCAACAATATTCAAGTAAGCAGCAGTTGTAGTACCGGTAAGTACAAACATGATAATTGCCAAATATTTGTATAACTGTAGATGCAACTTCAACTGATAATGATATTGAAGCTGATCACATTGCAAATGTCAAAGCAGATAAAGCCAACAATAAGCGAAAAAAAAGAAGGAAACTAACTAATGGATAATGCCGAAGTTCTCCACCCTGTGTTATAAAAAAGGTTGGCTTGAACACGACAATTAAACGAATAATTTTGAGTAATATTTCGTATTGTTATTTGTTGTTGCCCAACACTGGAATTGATTCACAGTTACATATAAGCAGGTATGAGAATGGTATAGTTGAGCTTCATCTTCATATATACGTCGATCGTAGAACAAAACGGAATCTACGACAAAATTTAGTTTTGTGGACAGAGAGTGACAAACAGAAATTCTTTTTTTGCTCGTAGATAAGGATAAAAAATTACTTTTTATTGCTCGCAGTCAAGGACAGAAAAAACTGTTCTGTTGTTCGTAGACAAGGACAGAGAGAGAGAGATTGTGAAGGTAACGTTTTTAGAGAATGTAATTCAAAATATTTTACGACGCGTTTCGATCAGGACTTAATCTAATCATCAGTGGATATGTTCCGATTATGAACTATTCGAATAGCACATTGAATGATAGTATCGTGAAGATGTGATATCTACGATGCTTTTCTATTGCATAAGAACATAAGAAACCAAACGGCAGCTTTTATGAACAAAGATAAATAGTGTTCTAAATGAGGGTGAATATGAGTACTTATTCTAGTCTTGTACCAAAAGTGCATGGATATATATGAGAATACAGATATATATGATAGTGTGATTTTTAGGACAAGTGTCGTTCGTCAATTTGGATATGCGAGTAGAACAGATATGAACTTATTGAAAGATGAACATTGCATATATAGGAAATTTATTTAATATGAATCTAATAATGTCAATAACTATGTTAGATAGAATATAGAGAATGTAATTTCAAGCTTACTTTTATGATATAGTTTAAAGTGAAACTGAAGATTTTGTCATGTACATGACCCTCATATTCTTGATCGAATTTAGTATCACTTGAGTTTTGTCAATACGAGTAATTGATTAGTCAAGGAAGATTGATGAGATATTCTTATAATTGTATTCAAATCAGTGTAAGTTTAATATGTAGATACTTATTGAAAAATAGATTTCTTAAGACTTCATTTAAAAAAAATCGATTGTTATTCGTTACGTATTATTAATTGATTTTTGTATATTTATTATTGTCAAATAGATAAGAAGAAAACTAATCATTTATATTGTTTTAAATTAGTCTGAGATCGAAATAATTTATGCATTAAAAAAGACTACTATCTTTATAGCTGTCGGAGGTGAGTTTAGAATTTAGTTGAGATTGTAATTCTCTATTATAGCATAAATGTTGTGATAAAATAATTTATATAAATAAAGTTTTTGTTGTTGAGGATAATATAAGATTATTTGTTTAAGTATGTAATTAGAAACGCTTCACCCTTTTATTTTTATCTTCTTGAAGAAAAAAAGATTTATAAAAGATGTTTGATTTTTTTTAAAACTCGGGACATTGGGACAATGTTATTTTCATTTATCTCGTTTAAGAAAAAGACTTGCAACAGCTGTCTGAGTTTTTTAAAGATCGGGACAATGGGACAATGTTATTTCTTTTATCTTATTGAAGAAAAAAAGATTTGCATGATGAGTTTTGTTTAGCGGTGAGAAAATTGATTGATTTTAGAAGTTTCAATGATCAGAAAGTTTTTTTTCGTTTGAAAGAAATATTGTTGTGGTTCTTCAAATGTCTGAGAACTAATATACCTAATATTCCGAGGATATTATTTGATTAGTAAACGAGTTTTGTACTGTAGGTATTGTTTTTGTTATATTATTTCTTCTTTTGTATCTTGCTCGCTTATATGTAGACTTCGAATAAATGGATGGGGAGGTATTTAGATAAGATATACTAATGAATATATTTCGTTGACTGCCAAATAAATCTCTAGCAGTATTTAAAGATTTGAAGATCTATGTAATTAAATTCGATAGCTATTTAAATCCTTGTTAGCTGATTAATATACTATGTCTGAAGAGAAATTATTTAATTCTGTAGTACTATTTAAATATTTGCTCGATATTTAAACTTTAATTTTTATTTTCACGAGTAGGTATTTGATCATAAAGTGGTATTTAATAAATCTTCATATTTATTTAAAGATTTTGCAGCTATCTAAAGTTTGAAATCTATTGAAAATTGTATTGCTATTTAAATGAGTGCTATGTATTTTTTTGACGCTAATGATTTTTTTCGAGCAGGGGGTTCGAAAAAAAATTATTTTGTATTTTGTAATTATACAAAAAAAAGAAATAGATTTTATATTTCATAGTTAAACAAAGATACGAACGGATGAGATTATTGTATTGATCGATTTTGATATGTCAATAAGATTAGATTGCATATTCAATAACGTTTGCCGCACCCTATTTTGTACGTCTGTAAAATGCTGATGCTATTTTTTATTATAATTATTATCAGGCATACGAAATATATATGTACGTATTTATATACTGATCTTGAACGTAATCTGAACATTGAAATATAATATTCTCAGTTAGTTTCAACTAGAATTTTTAAATCTATATATTTGTTTTGCATACTGTAACGGAATAAACTTTATTGTTTTATTTGAGTAATCATAAAGCTTTAATCTGAGCAAGGGAGGCAAAAAAATAGATTTTTTATTTTATAGTTATGTAAATAATATTAAGATATTTATTTTGATATAAAAGAATAATTAAATAGCTACGTCGAAGCGCTAAAAATAAATCTTATCATGCTGTACTTCAGCAAACTCTACAAACCATAGTTAATCGAACTAAACACTGGAATTGTTATTGAAAATTCATCTTAATAAATTCAAAATATTTCGAAAAGAAAAATTTTTACTTGTTTATGTAAAAGTCAATCATAGCATTAAGTTGAAAATTTTAATTATTTTTTGTATAAAATAAAACAATTTAAAATATTGTTTCTCTTCTTTTTTTTCTTTTATCTTTATTTTATAGAAACAATTTCATGCTATTTACATAAATTTAATTTAATCATAACATTTGAATTCTTTCTCTTCGTTTCTCTTCGTTTCTCTTTTTTCTCTTTTATTTCTATTTTATCGATATTTAATTAAATCTACTGTTCCAATCTCAACTGAATCCTCATGTCAACTGTGACATAGCTATTGAAATTTATATAAATATAGAGAAATAAATAAAACTAATATTGTTTATTTTGATTAAATATTTAATTTTTTTTATTTCAATCAACTTTTGCTCATTCGATAGATTTCTCGATAATAATATCAATTCATATGAATTTATACAGTGAAATAAATATTTTATTTTTCAGTTTGATTTATTATTTATATTTTTTGAGAGTGGGTTAGAATAAGATGTTAATATCTCACTCACATTATCGCTCTCAAACAATGTAAGCATCTAGAGGTTGCACAACCTGATTGTTGCTTACCATTATGGTGACAACAGTTTACTTCTATTACTTAGAGACTTTCTTCCTTTCTTTTTCTTTCTTACTCGTCAAATCGATTTTGTCAATTTTGTCGTTATAATAAAAGCGAATAGATGAAAGTTTTTTATTGCTTTAACAAGTAACAAAAATGAATTCGCCTTCTTTCTGATAAGCAAAGCTATAAAAGTCAAGCATACAACATTTTATTGCTTCATTCTCCGCGAGACATTACACGATAAGAAATAGTTTTATTTTTGAAATAACATAACTATTACTCTCAAAAAGAGACTATAGTATATCATAAAATGATCGTGAATATATATTATTAAACATATAACACGAATCACAGTACGAAAAAAATATCTAAAATATTGTCTAATACTTGAATATTATCTGCATATCTATTCTAATTTTTGGTAGCGATAATTTTTGCACTATTATTTACTAAGTAGTCTCATAATAAATAGCAATAGTATATAGTTTCTTGTCTATCAATTGGTAGTTTTCTGAGATAATACTTGCATCGAGATAAAAAAGAGAAACTAGAAATTAAACGATATTTGAAAAGTTCAGTATCTTGGTGTGGATGTGGGTGGGTGTGGGTATTAAATTAACCTTACTCTGACGCCCACACCCTCACCTACACCTCAGCGAAATCTACATCAATTTATACGTGTCAAAACTCTTTTTTCATAGTAAAAATACTATCCGATCACATACACATTGAAATGGAACTCATGACATTGCTGGTGATCCTTATTATTCTGTTCTTCTTGTTTCTGTTCCTCAATCTTCCTCGTCAACGTGCTGAACATGCTCAACGTCGTCAACGTGATCGTACGGATGATCATAGTATAGATGCTGTTATGTATGGTAATTGTTGGAAATTAGAATAGAGAATTTGAAATCTAATTTATCTAAGAGTCAAAATAGCGAGATAGTGTGGCCTTTTTGGAATTGAAGTTGAGAGCGACCTTTGCCTTATGGGAATGTAGTAGTCGAAAATCACTTTGAGTTTTGGAGGGTCTGAAAGGAGACGGAGAGAGTATTTGTTATTAATTTAAAAAAATGAAACCATGTCATCTTCCTTTGTAAGAAATATTTGATAAAAAACTAAAATCTGTTATCTGCACACAGTCGTAATACATGTATGAGCGGGGTGTATTCAGCGAAACTATTTGTTACAAATATGCCATTGCGGTCTTACATATGACTAAAAAGCTCTGCGGTTGTGCTCATGTTGAGATTGCCAGAGAAATGTAAGATGTGAGAATTATGATTGGTCAATGATAGGTTAGAATTATATATTTATAGCAAAGAACTGGTAGTCCTTTCAAATGTATGGTTCATTGTTGTGCAATTATCAGTTCTGTCTTTGCAAATAAAAGGTGTATATTGAATTTTAACTCCATAGAAAAATATTATATTCTCGTATGCTTGTTCAACACTAAATATATAGTTTTTCAATACCAAAATATGAGCTTTGTAACTGTTAGCATCACATAAATACAGACAACATAAGATGTCACAAATAATTTTGAGTTATACTTGATACCTTTTAATGTTTGATTAATTGTATTCATAGACAAAGTAGTGAATAAATAAAAGTTGATAAATGAAGAATCTCAAAAAATAATAAATGAGAATGTATGCCAGTGTTGAAATATCTCTCATTCATATTGATATAATACTTTCTAGAATTGTTTTAAGTATTTTATGTATCATTTATTTAGTGTTGAACCTACCTGTGAGGAACGTATAACTTTCGAAAAGAGTAGTGTAAAAGAATACAGTAATACGCGAGGTCAAAAAGACTGGGCACCTAAAAGGAAATCTGAGATGAGAATATATTGAAATGAAATTAGAATTGTAAAACACTAGCAACATAGCAATGAAATACATTGATTGGAATAAAATATGAACAGCTGATGGACAAAGTATTCACACGATTGCAGTAAGCGTTGAGTTAAGGTGGAGAACAGATAGATCAACAATGATATACATGTTTGTTAGTACTGGTTAGTATAGTTTATTGAAGACTTTTCAGATTGTAGAGGAAATAAAAGATTAACGGAAACGAATGAAAGGAATAAATGAAGAAGGACAAAGATAAAGAGAACGACAACATTATAGCAAAGAATTTGAATACATATGTCTTATTATATGCACACATGAGCTCACATAATATCTTGAACAATGGTATATATCTAACGATGACTGCACCGTGTATGGCAGAGAGGTCATCCAAAGATGATCAACCCATAATTGATAAAGACATCATTGAGAGACGACTGCTTTGTATAGAGAGTAGAATTATCGAGTTTGACCTTCATAGCCGTCTTTGTTTATTATTTTTTGAGAATCTTTATTTATCAACTCCTATTCATTCACTACTTTATCTATGAATATAATTAGAAACATATTAGAAGTGTTAAGAATAATTCAGAATTATCTATGACATCTTATGTTGTTCGTATTTATGTAGCGCTAACTGCCAAAAAGCGTACTTTTGGTTTTGAACAAATAAACATGTCTACTATACTTAGGGTCGAACAAGTATACGAGAAAATAGTAATTCTCTCCAGAATCAAAAGCCAGTAGAAGCCCTTTATGAACACTCTCCCTCGAGGGCATTGCACGTAAGCCATGACTAACTTCGCTCAATCGACGTTACCAATTTAGGTGATATTTTTACAATAGCTAGGCTTATGTGTGTTATATATAATCTAAAAATTTCACCTCAAAGAGATGAACCGTTCTAGAGGTCTCATTGTTACAAGTAAGAAGAAAGACGGAGTCACATATATTTGAGATATCTTTAGAGTAGCCTTTTTTTTAGTAAATATTCATTTTTTCAACAATGATAAGAGCTAGAAAAAGAAATTTTTTTACCATAAACACAATCGATGATGAGCTATCTTTTAATGATATTGAAAATCTCTTTCTGTCGAATTTTTATTGCATCATTCTATATACTATTTTTAGAAAGTACGTCCAGATACAACGAGCCAATTGGTCAAATCGATTCTGCTGGACAACTTCGACAAGGTAAATGTCAGAAAAAATCATCAAAAAGGCGAATATAAGAAGTGTGTGGGTGTGAGTGTGGGTGTATTTGATATTGATGTAACACCCACACCCACACCCTATCCTCTTTCACAAGTTGAAAACTGTAGATTGGTAACTACTTGCTTCATGACGTTATGCAACTTTTACCAGCACGTGCAACTGTTTTGAAATCCGCAATATTTTGCAACATCTAAACTATGTCTGCATCAAAGCTATAGCCTACATGTTCGAGTGCAAAATTTGTTGATCCTACTTTCATGTTCATTGTATTCTTTGAATTAAATGAATTTTTCTCTTATTTCACAGTCTCAGTCGATCGTCGCACGGTTCGTTACTTGCCTCGTTCAGTTACATCTGCCACTTCCAATTATGAAAGTGATGTTTACCACTATGATCATGAAAAAAAAGAATTGAGTTTCAAACTTTTGGATATAAATCCATATAAAAATCAATTGCAACAAGTTTATTCGATTTTTATCAAAGAAGATGAATTGACCCAGGAAATGTTAGATGTTATCAAACAGTATACGGGCCACCATTACTTGAAAACAAATTTGAATTTGTTATCAGATTATGATATCAATTGGACTTATACCAATAAACTGTGATCAATTATACGTGGTTTGTATCAAAAAGATCTAAGAAGTGTTTATTATCGAGGACTCAATTTATCAGATATCGAAGTCAATTATTTTAAACAAAAGATTGGTACATGCTACTACACGAATTCATTTTTATCATTTACGATCGAAAAACATTTCGCTTTTCGTCGCAATGCACTTATGATATTGAACACAGTAGAAGGTAATCAGTTAAACATTGCAAACGTATGGAAATGGAGTAGTTATCCACACCAAATGGAAGCAATATTATCAATTGGGGCTCAACTGGAAATTTTGAACGTTTCTCAAGACAATGATCGTTGGATAATCGAAGTTCAACTCGTCGGGAATGAGTAACAAAAGGAAACGGACAAAATCTTAGAAACATCTGTTTCCACGAAAATTTTAAACTGAAATTGTCGTTCTTTACTACATGTAACTCTGATGTCTTATTTCAATAAAATTAGATTACTTATGAGTAAATAAAAAATATGCAAAAGCAAGGTATATTAAGCACGGTCACTTTCGAAATTGATGTTATCTTTAGATGAACAGATCAGGCTAGCATCTTTTGTGGATATCAGTCCTAACTAAAAGGGATAGATTAATATATGTGAGTCAAACAACTGTGATCATGGTTTCGCGCCTACTAGCAGACACTTAAGGTGGCTTTAGACAGATTATATGTTTAGACGATTTAAAAGAAGAGGGACATAGATGTTGGTATGGACGAAGATTAAATGCAACATTGATACACATCTACCAATACCCTCAAGCTTTATGTATATAAACATATGGATAGAGAGATTCTATCTAAAATAGGGTGTGAGTGTGGGTGTAGACGAATAAGAAGTATTCAGCTATACCCACCCACACCCGCACCCTCAAGAGCGATTCGTCTGGAACACATCACAGACGAATCGCTGCTGAAAATACTCGAATCGGCTGCTTACTTCACTTACGTGAGCAGGAGTTCGAAAAAAAACAATAAATATTTATTGTAATCCAATTTTCTAATTCATTCGTAGCAAAACGTCACTGTTTAATGTATATCATGTTATGAACTATTCAGAACCAGGATTATTAAAGAAATATCATGACAATTCAAAGTATTTGATAAACAATCGAGAAAAAAGAAATTTAGAGATTTTTCCCAGTCAGTCACTCAATAAAAGAACAGATCAAAAACACGATAGAAAAGTAGTCAACTATTTAAATTATTTAATAGCTATGTTAATGTTTAAATAGAGCTATACAGTTTAATTAAAAAGTATCTCTTTTGAGAAGCTATGCTTTTCATAGATTTGAAGCAACGAATCTAATAGATCTAACAATGCAAAAATTTTTGCTCCAACGTTTCTAATAACACCTGTGATAGACTTGCACAATTAAGTTCCGGCTTTTTAAACAAAGCTGTATCTCGTAAAATATTTATAAAAGAAAGGAATCTATAAAAAGCTATGAACAAAAGAATTTTTACTTTATTTTTGCTTTGTGCGCATTTTAATATGCTAATGGATGAGCAACAAGTGAAAAAAAAACGTCACATTGTAAAATGATAAAATGTGGTTACAACAATGCGTCTATGGTTTATTCGTTCGATAATGCACGTGCGTCGTAATAACGATTGTTTGTTACACTTTGATGGTTTTACTATTCTCTCTCTTGCTTCTTCAATTATACACAGTCCTCATTCATTTGTTCATTCATTCATTCATGATGCATTGATAAATAAAAGATAGAGATCATTATTTTGTATTTTACTCTCAGGCTTTAAAACGATGTAACTGACAAAGTAAGTTTTTGCACTCCGTTTCTTTTCTTTCATTCAATTTAACGACTGATCTTGTTGTTTAAAGTTCATTTCTCGTTAAAATTTTCTATTTGTTTTATCTTTAAATGTATATGATAAAAGACAACTCTTCGACAGTCATTTTTTGATTACTGTGCCAATAGGCTATATCCTTTCATATTCACATATTCACGTTATCACATGTTTATATAATCCTTGGTTCTTAGTGTAAACACAATAGAAGTAGACCTCGGCCTTCTATCTCATATATGAAACATAAACATGTCTATCCTTGTGTTTATGGTTAGTAGACGACAATAGTCTATCGAATATATGAAAATGGGGGAGTAAAGAGAGAAAGGGGAGTAGAAGAATTAGAAGATAGCATAATTTTGTTGTAATCACGATTGACGATCAATTCATTTTCTCTTGCTCATTCATTTATAGATCTTTAATCATGATTGACGATCAAAATGATGAAGGAGACAGTTCTACTGCTAGTACATTAACAACATCAAAGTCGTTGAGCAAAAAATCAAAGAAAAAATCGACTGCTGCTACAACAACAACAACCAATGTCCCTGATGGAAATAGTATACATGACGAGAGCAACAGTGTGAATAGAAAGGATCTTTTATGTTAAAAGTAATCTATAAAATTTCTCTTTTTAGCAAAAACTTACAGAGAAATCAATGCGAAATTTAGTGAAACAAATGACACTTACCGAACAAGCTGCTGTTCATAATAATAATGAAAATGGACCGAAATATGACGAAAAGTCAGCATCAAAACAAGAATGGAAATTTTGGCAAACACAACCTGTACCGACAATTGGTACAAAAATTGACACAACCAATATTGGACCTATTGAATCAAATAAATCATTAGATGAAATACGACAAGAACCATATGAATTACCTAATGGTTTTTTCTGGGATGATATTGATATTCATGTTGATGAACAAGTATATTGAGAATCTTCGTACGATTTAATAAATGACATGCCATTTGTTTTTCTAGTTACAGGAATTGTGTACGTTCTTAGACGAACACTATATTGAAGATGATGGTAATAATTTTCGATTGAAGTATTCCATGTCATTTTTACGCTGGTAATTTATATACAATAGAGAAATTGTTTTTTTTAAACGTATTCAGATCTTTTCAGGGCTTTATGTGTGCCAGATTGGCTTAAAAAATTCCATGTGGGAGTTCGTGTAACGAAAAGTAGTAAACTGGTTGGTTTTATCAGTGCTGTCCCAATTCGAATAAGAGTCTATGATAAGTAATTAAGATTAATTCGTCTCCTTTTTTTCTATTTTTTTTGTTAAAAATAATTAATAGGGAATTATCAATGGTAGATATAAACTTTTTATGTGTTCACAAAAAATTACGACTTAAACGCTTATCACCCGTACTTATTAAAGAGATAACACGTCGTGGGCATTTGGAAAAATATTTTCAAGCAGTATACACAGCCGCTCCTTTCCTACCTGGTCTTGCATGCAAAGCTAGGTATGAATTGTTTTCCATTATTTTTTCTCAAAAGATGAGAATACTTTCTATACCTTTGAATTCAGATATTGGCATCGATTGCTCAATGTCAAAAAATTGTTGGCCATCAAATTTGCCTTTTTAGGACGAAATGTGACAATGCAACGAATGCAAAAACTCTATCGGTTACCTGAGGTCTGTAGAAAATATTCTTCATCTTTTCTTTCATGTACATGTTAAGAAATTAGAGTTCGTTAATATTTTCTTCAAATAGACGACACAAGTGGCAGGCTTTCGTGAAATGCGCGATGCTGATATACCTCAAGCTTGGAAAATACTCACTCAGGTATGTTGTTTTTCTCTTACGTTGTTATTTTTGCTCTATGTCATTCTTGAATTAGTATCTGACAAAATTCGACCTGGCGCCGGTATTTTCCCTTGATGAATTTGAATATTTATGTAAAAATCGGTCAAGCATTGTGAGCGCATTTGTTGTTGAAGTGAGAAAAAACCTTCATCATGATCTTTTCACTATCTGACTGGATTTGTTTTCTCTCAATAGAGTGATCAAGGTGAAATAACCGATTTTATATCGTACTATCATTTACCATCAACAATTATAAACCATCCAGAATACAAGACATTGAATGCATGCTACATGTATTATTATGCTGCCAGTCGAACACCATTGACTGATCTCGTCAATGATTGTCTTATACAAGCACATAATGTAAGGAGTAAAACGAACATTTTTTTTTCTCATATTAATAAGGTTTTTTTTTGAAGAGTGGTTTCGATGTATTCAATGCACTCGATATAATGAATAATAAGGAGTTTTTGAAAAAACTTAAATTTGGTGATGGTGATGGTAATCTACAATATTATGTGTACAATTGGAAATGCCCATTGATGCCTCCCGAAAACGTTTGTTGTATTTTTTTAATATTCATATAATGATTTATGTTTTTTTTGTTTAGATTGCAGTGATACTTCAATAATAGAATCACATACCATAGGACAACTCTACTCACATCATTTACTGTTCTTCTTCATCTCTCGCTGTTTTTTTTTTAAATTTACTTTTCATATTTAAAAAGCCACAAATATGGGAGGATCAGAAATCAACAGAGGTGCAAAATAAAGATTAATCATCAGAAATATACCTACAATAACAATAAGAATATTTTTGAGGGTGGGTGTGTGTATTGATGAGAAATTGATTCGGTGAATATCTTTCGGCGAAATTTATTATTGGGAAAAAGTTTTCGGCAAAAGTGAAATTTGTTAAAATTCTAAGTATTTTGCTACAGATATATATTGACAAATATATTCTACTAAAAGACATCGCTGTTCTGAAACATCATTGAAAATATTTAAATCTATTCAAACACAACTTCTCTTGAAATTTTCTATAAATATTTTTAGTTGGTCAAAATAGCTAAAATATATTGAAAATAAAATAGATATTCAACATTGGAATACTGCTTGGTATCATGCATCAGCATATTGTGCAATACAAATAATATTCCATCAATCTCATCGTAATCAAACAACACAATCAAGAACTAATTTTGATTCAGACTCATTATTACAATCAATATTACAAAAACATAAAATAAATTTATATTATTTATTACATTTATCTCTTTTTCATATTAAGTTCATCTACATGGAATTTTTGCACAATAAATAAAGACATTTTCTATCATTCTTAGTGTGAACCTTACTTTTATGATCATATCTCTAGGAATAAATCTCACATGAATAATACAAAAAGATATTATTCATCATCATCTTTGGAAACAATCTAAAACATTTTATATAATGATTTTATCACAAAATTCAATTTTATTTTAATAACTGTATCTATCTTCAATAACTTATTCCTTGATAAGACTATATTTATAATTCATAATATTAATTATTTGATTATTTTGTGCAAATTATCCATCGATAGTAAATCGATTTTTGTATTATTTGCATAATATTCATCAAAAGAATAAATTAGACAATGAAAATAAAGATGATTTGATAGCGAATGTTGTTTTCAGTTAATCTTCATGCTAAAGCAATTAATTGAAATAGATTCAATGAATACATCAGCGAACAATCAATTCAGATAAGAAATAATCGAAAACCATCTTGTAGGATGTAGGAACGAGTATAAGTAATTATCAGAATATACATTCACATCCACACCATCTTATGAATCATGTATATAATTTTTTTATTTTGTAAGCAAGTTACTTATACGTATTTAATGATGCGCAATATTCGTGACCCCCTCTTTTTCTATAGATATGCCGCTGTTATTAACTATTAACGTTAATTTTTTATTCTTTCATTTATGTTTTTTTGTCATATCAAAATGTCTTGTAACATCATTTTTTCATTTCTTTCGGTCTCTCTCTCTCTCTACATATATGACGTTTGATTTGACTATGTGTTAATTTTTTGTTTGTTTCGATTTCTTGTTCTCTTACTCTATTAAATACTGCCTTACTTTTTTTAATGATTCGCGAATATATATGTAATCGTCTCATTATCAATATCTTAAAATGCGTTTTATTTAGATGTCATTTTTTAAAAAGAAATCAACAACTAACGAAGATATTGCAAGTGGTGGTGGTGGTGATTCTTCAATGTTTGGTTTAACACGTGATCAAATAAAAGAATTGATGGAATTACGTGGAAAAGAATTACTGGAAAAATTAAATATTAGAAAAATTAAAAGATGATAAAACTAAAGGACTTGATTCAAATAATCAAGAAGATTTTGAACAACATCATATAGCTTATGGAAAAAATCAGATTCCACGAAAACCAATATCATATTTACCATTTACCAGGTATAGAAATCATCGAAAGATAAAAGCAAAAGAGTAAAGATGAATGTTATAATGACTTTTTCTTCATAAATCCCTTTGTTATACGAATACGACAACATTCTCGAGAAAAGTCTTCAATGGTTTTTCAACTATACCAATTATTATAGTTGTAATTGTATTTAGTGAATTGAAAACAGAACATGAGTTTCGTCATCCATTGTTGTTAGGTGATGTTTTACCAGCTGATGGTTTAATTGTTGAAGTAAATGATCTTGGAGTTGATGCATCTTCTATAACAAATTTAACATTTTCTGTATAGGAGAAACAAATTCAATAAAAATAAAGATGTTATACTTTTTTCAGGTACACAAATTATGGAAGGTAGTGGTCGAATGGTTATTACTCGTGTTGGTCTTAATAGCGAAGCAGGAATCATCATCTGATTAAAAATAACTCATTAAAAAACCTATATTATCGACTTAATTCTATTCATTATAATATTTTTTATTTCAATTTCTATATGTTCAATAAAATAAAAATATATAATGAAAATACTGGAATTTCTGATGATAAAGGATACAATTCTAAATATTATTAACTGGAAAGATCGAAAGGCCTTGCGTCATTGAAATATATTTCTGTGAAATTCATTCAAGTTGTATTTTTCTTCTCTCCTCATACAAGTCTTTATGATATTTCTTTTTTTCTTAATTTATTTTCAAACATTATTCGTGTTGACTTGTCTTATTAAAAAAAATGTATATATCGTGTCGAAGTTATTTTATATCAACTAAACATCAAATAAGCATAGTTCGTTTTTTTTAAACAAAAAAAAACAGTGATATTTACAAATGAGACATTAATTTCTATGAAAATTGTGTTTCAATTCTAAGTTTGTAGGGTCATAGATAGATCTTTATACGTATCAAAGTCGAACTTACATTTAATGTACCTAAGTTTTTCATATTTGTCATGTGAAATGTGACTGATTTACCAAGTTTTTTTAAACATTGATTCTGTCTTTGTTTTGACTATTACAACATATTTAATATTCTAGAAATTTCTTCATTACCCTACAAACTTAGGATTGACTGAATAAATCTATAGTCATATATCATTCTAATAAAAATTGTGGTAAATTATTTTTATATCCACGTGTTTGTACATCATAGGTTACTAAAGAGCGTTGTCGTTCTTCTTACATGCACAGTCATGCTTCGTTAGTTTTTCTTTTTTTTCTCTTGTCGTATTGATATACAGTACATTTAATATAAAAAAACGTTATCTTCTTACAGTATCCTACCGTCTAATGTATAAAATGAAAGAAATACATTAACATTTTGAGTATCGTAGGCCATTATGAGTAACATATCACATCCCTGGCGAATTTCCTTATTTAATTTAAATGTCGTAAGTAAAAGATTTATTTATATTTAAGCTACATTATTAGAATTCATTTTTTCAAAACTGAGAAAAATTAAGTAAGATTTTACAATATATTATTAACACCTGTGAATATCATCTCCACTCTTCTATAAATCATATTCGACAGCGAACCACATAAGATAACGCAAAATATTTTAGTTGTTTTTTTTAAATCAATTCAATAGCTGTACTTTCAACAAGATTGAAAAAAACTTATTTTCTAATATTTCTTGGTTTCGTGGAGAAATAAGAATGTAAAACGAAAAAAATTTGATCGAAAGTACTTATGAGACAAACCATTCCGATGTTATTGACTGTGATCGTTGGATGAATAGAATAAAAAAACTGAACTATTTTGAAAGCAAGAAAGATAGTGTTGAGGGTGTGAGTGAAGGTATATTAGGCTTATTGCACTGTAACACTCACTGACTCATCCACAGTCATCTATAAGCTTAAGATTCTTACAGTACAAGATAAAACTTTTCTTTCAGATAGACATTAATTGTCCTTGTCACGTTCTGTCTATATTATGGAGAAGTTATATCGAATAGTGATCGTATTATTTCCAATATTAATGATTTTCCTTACCTTATTTTTACGTCACGAACTATCAAACGCCATAAAATCACAATATACACGGCTTCTACATTCTAACATTAACTTTGCTATGGATCGTGACGAACATGAAAAACAAAGATGTCACTGGTCTTTTGTCAATTATACGCCTAACAGTTGGGAAAATATGTGGTATAATAACATTGAAACCTTTCAAAATAATGTTTGCGAAAGACTATCCGACACTGAAAATCTGAATAAAACAATCTCAATAATGCAGCTGCTAAGTGTGTTGCAAAAATCAGGCAGATATGATACTAGCGTAACACAACCACAAATCGATGATATTCTCTCAACAATGTATTATCGATATGAATGTATGAATACTGATACGTTTGTGACATCCGAAATAGTTGAAGTATCGCATTCGATTAAACCTTTAATAGGCTTATTACGAGATCCCTTTAGCATTTGTCCTCATTTGAATACATCCGTAGTGTCTCCATCACTTTACGATGGTGCAGACTTACAATCAAAAAGATTTATTCTATTGTCAGTTTCAGCGCCATTTTACACACATACAGTGCCACCAGGTTCTAGACTTTTAAATGAAATATCTATTATTTCTGATGATAATAATAAAAACGTATTGCCATGGATGTATCAACGTCTAGCACATACTGATATTGAAATGGAAATTAACATACGAAATCGAAAAATTATTCTTTTCGATTTGGGAAGCTCTTATTTTGGTGGTTGGGAGAAAGATGATACAGCTGCTGCAGGAAAGTGGTTCTACGAGTATTATAAACGGTTCAATGTTAAATTCGATCGAATTATTGCTTTTGAATTTTCTTCATTGAATCAGCATGATGCATGGGAACAACTACCTAGTGACGTTTTCCCTATATATACTCTTATCAATGTTGGAGTCACTGAAAGTGGAAAGTTTAATCCTTGGGCAATGCTACAAACAATTGCTCAACCATCTGATCATGTTGTTGTCAAATTAGATATCGATACATCTGCCTTAGAAAATACGTTGATAAAACAAATATTAACTGATCCAAGCATTCATATTCTAATCGATGAACTTTTATTTGAGCATCATGTCACAGTTAATGAAATGATACCTTACTGGGGAGATATGTGGGATTCATTGAATGATTCATTGAAGGATTCATATATATTATTTAAAAAGTTACGACAACTCGGAATAAGAGCTCATTCATGGCCGTGAGTAAGTGTGTGTCTTGAAATATTACGCGAAACCTTTACTTTCAATCACTAAATCTTTCTATTTTTCATGTATCAGAATTATATCAAATTACATCAAATAAAAAAGTTCATTAGTCTAACAATATAGAATATCTATATCTATAAAAACAGATACGCGAGTAATCATATGGGTGAGTTTGGGTGTAGTTGTGGATTGATATCAGGTTCACTCAACATCGATATCCACTATCTCACTCACACTCACACCCATCCGAATCTTCATTATTATTATCATCAGCGCGTCGCTTCATGAATCGTTGCATCATTCGTTGATGCCAATTATTTTTATCCAAATCTTGATAACTATATGCAATGGCATCATTCACATTACTGCGACGAAGAATCCAAATTAATCGATAACGAAAAATTTCACATATAACAACAAGTTCATAAAATAATCTCGTGAGATTTTCGGTTGCTTGCTTCATTAGTGTTGGAATTTCACCAACGGCCAACCCTATACGGAAATAAATATTATCAATCGTTTAAAAATTAGCTACGACTTGTGTCTTACCAATAAGGAGATTTGTTACGAATACTGTCATAATGAGAAGAAACAGAAGATAAACTATAAAAGCCACCTTATAATAGGCTTTCGTGTCTGCATCAAACATACGTTCATCAAAGCCTAATTCTCCAGATATCATTAGTGCTAAATAGATAATAGAAAATCAATGCGAGTTGATAAAGGCTATTTCAACATACCTGTTTTGATGTAAGAGTAACTTTTATTTTGAAATGGTTCAAAGTTTTGAAAAATCATATAAAATGTGGATGCAAATCCACTAATAAGGATGAGAAGTATAATGGAAAATCTCATAAATTTCTTGATAATTACAAAAAGCATTGTAACGTACAGGCCTAACATTGGTATAAACTGAATGTAGCCGAGTAAAGTTAACCAACTAAGAAGTAAAGCAAATGCTCCAAATTCCCATTGAAGTGGACAGCGTAAAGTGAGATTCATCTGATAGTTTCGATCATGCACGAAGATAAAACTCATTAAAACTGCAAGAGTTTCTAACCAATATCTTAATGTTTTGAAGAAATCAATTTGTACAATTTCAATGATAGTAAACATATTTTTAAAGACAAGTGACCAAATAGCCATGTACATTACATATTTCAAAAAATAGTCCATCGTTGTTTTTATACCGCCATGAGTAGATGATGTCAGAAGTACTTGCGAAACATTATAACATAAAGAATCATCGAAATCAATATTTGTAAGATTATAATAAGTTGCTGGATGATGCGTACGTAATACGATCGTTGTAAATAATCCGAGATAAGTAATATATAGTGAGAGAATCATAATATAGAGAAAAATACCGAATTTTTGAAATTTTAACTTCACAAGATAATTACTGAGTGGATGTGACATAAGATCATGGGCTTCATACTGAGCCATTAAAAATAATGGATGTTTCATAACGAGATCGACCGTATTGGAAGTATACAATGTACCATGTTTTTCATCTTCTGATGAATCTGAATAGTAATTATTATTTCAAACATTGACAAAAAGATAAAAATGATTTACCTCTATTCCATTTGTTAACAGTGAATTGATCATCGAGAAATTCATATACAAAAATATTCTTATGTACAGCCATTCCTTTAGTATACACTATCATTGAACATTTATCCAGCACTAGTAAAGCCATTGAAGGCATTTTACGAATCAATTTTCGCATCGGTGTATCTATTTCACATTGGCGAGGAAGTAGAGAACAGAAGGGATGTGTTCTCTCTCGTATTTGTGAATTACGCATTAAATCGAAACAATTGTCATTTTCAATCAAATATCGAACAACTTCTTCGTTGTTTGCCTCAATTGCTACTTCGAGACAATTGTGACCATCAACATTCGTTGCAAATAGATCACAATCGAATTCAATCAATTGCTTAACAAGTTTGCTCGATCCATATTCACATGCAATATGTAATGGTGTCTCTCGTCGAATAGTTAAAGCATTGATATTGATTATACCACGTGTAATGAGACTGGTAATACATTGAGGTCGTTCTTTGTTGTCTTCATCATTTTGACTACATCGTGTTGCATGATGTAATGGTGTCCATTCATTTATATCGGAAACATGTGAATCAGCTCGATGATCAAGAAGTATATCGACAATACCAACATGACCTATATAACAAATTAGAGTTGAAGAAAAACGTCATTTACTTACCTTTTGCAGCAGCCATATGCAAACTTGTACGTTGTTGGTCATCACACATATTAATCATCGATGCATCAGCATATTTGAGCATTTCATTGATGACATCCAACTGTCCAGCTTGAGTAGCCACATGAAGAGGTGTTAGTTTTTCTTTATTCTTTTTTGTCAGCAATACATGAGCATGACGAATTGTTGATTCTGGCTGCATTCGCTTATCAGCATTGTGGTTGCTCATTTTGAAAAACTTTGGTGAATATGAAGACGAATTATGACCGCTAATATAGCCTAATAGTACTTGAGTCATGTATACATTACCAACTTGAGCACAAGTATGTAGAGGTGTATTACCCAACACATCAGCAGTGGTAGCTAATGTATTGGACATGAAACGAGAATTAAATAGTGCTTTAGTGATCTCTTTATGATAAACTTTTGTACAAACATGTAATACTGTACAAAATGAGACATCACTCGCTAAATCAAATGCTTCTTGTGTAAAATATTTGTTGTTCAGAAGTTCGTTGACACATTTGAGTTGGCGATACTGAACAGCAACCATTAATGGACTCAAACCCGTCTGTTTGTCGCAATACATGATACTATGCGGATTGATCAGATGAGAAATTGTTTTAAGACCATGCAATTGGCGGCAAGCTAAAGAGAGTCTACTGGGATCGTAATTGATTGCTTCATCGTATTGTTGTTTCAGCATGGACAAGACTTTATTTTCTGGTCTGAGGTCAAAAAAATGTTTGATAACATCGGGATCATTATATTCGATCATAATGTCAATAGGCTTCTTCTTATCATGTGTTTCACGATTAAATAATTGTGAATAATTCAAGAACAAATCAATCACATTATTGTTGTCGAGGCATCGACAAGCATAATGAAGCGGAATGGCACCATAAATATCGGGAATCTAAAAGAAAACATTAAAAATAGAAAGCGATCTTGATAAGAAAATTTACATCAAGATTGGCGCCATATTCTATCAGATACTTGGCATTTCTTATACAATTGTAGATGACAGCAAAATGTAACGGTGTTCTTCCATGGCTGTCTTGAATATTTATCATGGTTTTCGGATAATTTAGTAAATATTCCATAATTGAAGACTAATTTAACAACAATAAGAAAATTTTAAAGTAAACGTTGTAGTCATCATTACTTACAGGATGTTCAGGATGCTTGGAATTCATCGAGCGAGCTGCGATATGAAGTACTGTTTGACCATCCAAACTGACCAAATTGATATCTTGAAGAAAATGAAATGAAATTAAGAATACTAACATTATTATCGTGTGAAACTAGAGAAAAGCGGAACCTGGATTAACTATCAAAAATATCCGTGAAGAAAAATAACGACACCCACACCCTCAATAGAAAGGAAGAATCTTACTGCAGCCGAAGTCATTGATCAAACATCTACAGAAAGCAACATTATTGAAAAGAGCACCGTAGTGTAATATCGTATACTGATCTGGTACGTTAAGTGTTTCTAACATCTTCGTAATCTGCGATTTATTGTAGGAATGATGTTTTCTTATAAAATTAATGAGACACTTTATCCCATTTTCACTATAGCCACGAGATGCTTCCAATTGTTGTATAATTTCGTCGAGATCTTCTCTACAATAGTCACTGGCCACTCCACTTTTTCTCAGTCTGTCGATGAACTCTTTCCTATTGTAAGTAGTTTTGTGAAGATCGTTGAACATATCGATAATTTGAGATGAAACATGTGGAACTGGATTACATGCGACCTAAATATTGATAGATGCATGCAGAAAATTCTACAAGAATGATAGCTTACTTCTTTGAGCACAGTAACAAAATTATGGTGAGTTGTTTTCTTCATTTGTTCTTCAAGCTCGAGTACTTGTCCGACGAACTCAGTCATTGGCAGAATGGTACTATCACCTTTTGATGCTTTGACACCCAAGTGCATTCCTGTTGGTAGTGAATCTAGTCTGTTATAGAAAATAAAACTCTTTCATTTATCCAGACTTAATAAACGACATATATCAAACGTTGAATAAAAGAATGATTAGTTTTTATATTTTTTTTCGTGATCTTGCTACCGCCTACATAAGATACGAGTGAGCAAGTCTCAAGTTCGATAATAAAATTGAACACTTTTTCTGATTATATATATACAGCCTAGTATGATCTTTCGAATTTATGCGAGATACTAAAGTTGAAAAGAAGTATGTTCTTCGATTGACTTCTAGTAAGATGTACGGATTTTGCGCAAGCTCTCTTACACGAGTAAAAATGATTCTTTGTAGATACATAATGGCATATGCTAACAATATTTATTTGGTAAGATCATCTTTCAAATCAATATAGATTGATGATAAGAGAGACAGATTAGAATTGCAAATGAGCATTTATATTCGTTACAGCCACATAATACGTTTTAGTTATCAATATCTTGTGGATTTCGATTTCATTATAAGCCAACTCTTCATCCCTGCTGATCCGATTTCATAAACTTTTTATTTTATGAATCACATAGTTTACTTGAGATTTGTCCAATTAATGTGGAGGTAAAAATTAGAAATAATGCAAAAAACTATTTTTAAACGGCTTTAAATCATTAAAATCTAAAGGATTTTAATCCATTATTTAGAATAATCAAAAAATATCTCTTCATTCTTTTGGTTTTAATGAACTCAAATGGTATCGTAAGTGAGTGAGAGTATTCTTTTCATTCCACACCTACACTCACATCAATCAATTTTAGATTGTTATTTTAAAAGAAATATCGAGAGGAAAAAAAGTTTCTACCCTATTCAAACTTCTGAACAAATGTATAATGCTTTATTAGCAGAGATTATTGATGTTAGGATTGCAGATACAAGCGAAGGTGAGTGTCAGCGTGACTATTCTAGCGATCCACATTCACAAAAACTATCTGCAAATACAAGGATAACCAAACGAAACGATTAGAATGAGAGCAAGGTACTACAAGATACAATTGGGTAATGTATGCGAATGAGTATTGAATACATAATGATCCAGACAATATCGAGAGTTTGTATGTGAGTGTGTATTGATTCAAAAAAAATAATTTCTATGCATACACAACCTAAATAATGAAGTATCTTCTCGAAATTGTGTTCTTTTTTCAGCGTTGATGTTCGATTCGCATGAATTAATAAATAGTTATCATTAAATATCAAAGAAAAAACGTTACGGCATAAGGCAGTTTTTAAAATAGACGTCATATCTGATATTTTATGTCTGAAAAAAACTTGTTTTTTCCTCCCGTTTTATTTAGCATATATGAAAACATTGTTAGTTCCTTTTAATAACTAATATCGTTAAAAAAATAAAACGCAAAAAAAATGAACAGGTGAATAAAAAAAGGTCTACCAGGAACTATCAATACATGACATATGTTCACTTTGTGTTAACTTGAGAAAACTATAATAAATCATTTTCTCCAAACTAAAATAAAAGAAATATACATTTGCAGAAAGCCAGTTGTCTCAAATATTTTACTTGATCAAAATCTTTGAGTTGTTAGTTATGAATACAGAAGAAAATCAGGAATTAAATTCTGGAATAATAAGAAGGTATGTACTTCTTTGACTTTTCGTGTAAGATAAAAATAAAGTTTTACTGTTTTTACAAAACAGATTTCTTGGAAAGAAACGGTTAGTGTGGATTATTGTTGGCATCGTAGCTATTGTAACAGTTGCAATAGTTGTTATTCCAACAACTCTTATTTTGACAAAAAAGAAAATTACAACAACAGAAGTCAAATCAACAATAATACCAACAGCAACATCAACAACAATACCGACAACAATATCGACAAAAACATCAACAACAATATCAACAAGAACATCAACAGCAATATCAACAACAATATCAACAATAATAACAACAAAAACATCGACAGCAACATCAACAGCAACATCAACAGTAATACCAACTACAACATCAACAACAATATCAACTACAACATCAGTACATCGCCCTTTTTACAAAAGTGAGTAACGACTATTTATAAGGCAGGGTGTGAGTGTGAATATTCTTTTCGTTTCACACACATAGTCTCACCCGTACCTATACCCGTATTTACTCATCCATTCACCCACACCCGAAACTATACCCACCCAGCTCATTTTCACCCACACTCACACCCAACTATTCACACGTAGATGGGCTTATGACTTTGCATCTTTGACTTGCCACAAACCCACAGACAGATACACAAACTGTTTTTTTCATATGACCCCCTTCAATCGACGGAATAATTATTAAATAGATGTTGCTTTTTTCGTACTATGGGACTGAAAAGATTAAATATGATTTATATACATTTCTTACTTAACCTTGTTTTTTTTGTCTGTTGTGTTAGAGATTCAAGAGAGAAAAAGTGATCTATGATTTTGTGATTTTAGCTATTCTAAATTAGTTTATTCACAGAAACTTTAGTCTCAAATCATATCGGATATGCTAATATCGTAAATTACATTTCACTAAAAACAAAAGAACACATATTTCAGTTTGTACTAGATAATTTTGTTGCATAAAATGATTGAAATTCGAAATTCCTTTTAACCAAGTCAGCAATTCTGAATCGCCATGTTAGTTATCAAAGAGATTTTTCATGCAAAGAAAATAGTTTCAATCACTAATCTATGTCTATCAATAATCAGTGGCGTACAGTGATTATTTAAATATATTTGTAATTTTTTTTAGATTGGTTTCGAACAAGTAGTATGAAAGATCCACGAATAGCTCATACGGCAACTGTATTAAAGAACGGAAAAGTTTTAGTTGCTGGTGGTTACTTTGATGTTATTGACTATGGTATTAGCAGTGCAGAATTATACGATCTATCAACAGCAACATGGACACGTATCAGATCTATGAATCATGGACGATGTCGGCACTCAGCAACTCTATTACCTGATGGAAAAGTGTTAGTTGCTGGTGGATTGACTGATCATGATACACCTACGAATACTGTAGAATGGTATGATCCACCACATGAAATATGGATCAAAACTGGTAGTATGAATATTGAAAGACATCAGCATACCACATCTATACTACAAGATGGAATGGTATTAGTTGCTGGTGGATTCACTACGAATCGGTAATTTCATTGAGATCTTATAACAAATTAGAAAATGTTTCTCTTTTCAGTTTTATTATTTCAACTAAACCAGAAATGTACCGAGCCCGAGAGACTCGGACTCGGTCAGGCTCGGTCGGCTCGGCGCTATGGTGTCAGAATCGATGTGGGTGTGGGTGAGTGCGGGTACTATCCTTCACACTCTCACTCACTATTTTCACCCACACCCACTCAAACCCACATCAATTCTAACACTTGAGTCCTGACCGACCCCAAGCCCCGAGTCCCGAGCCTGACCGAACTCGAGAGGCTCGGGCTCGGTACATCCCTAAATTTGAGTTCGTTTCATATCTATTCTTGATTAATTGTTTCTATTCAATTATACTATTGGAGTTTGAATATCCTTGATAAGGATTCTTTACAATCGAATTTATTATCTATAATTACATTTAGTAACATCAAATGTTGAAAAAATAATCACTTGAAAATACTAGTTCATGAGTTAAACAGTGACACAAAATTCATCTTAGTATTTTAACAATTCTTTTTTGGTTTAAATTATATGCAATAAAAAAATACTTTTGAGTTAATTCATTTTTTCTCAGATTCTCTGCCGTTTTTCCAATATTTATTTGTTTAGTGAAAAACTCTTCGAAAATGAGAAATCATCGCGAGATTAACAATAAATATTTTGATGCTTGCTTTTTGTCGAGTTTCTTTTTCATTTGAAAACGTTTCTAACTTCAAAATAGATTGTCTAGTTTTAATAAATCAGTTTTTTTGAAGAATATCTATTGTTAGATAATTCTTTGGTACACAACTAACTTGAACATGAGTAAGTGGAATCAGTAGGAAAGAATATATTTCTAATCTTTCTAAACTGCATAAATCAATAGTTCTCCACACACTTCAAATTACATTGAATTGTCTTTAAAATTCATCTATATCTTAAGAGTTGTTATACCAGAGAAGATTTTAATACTACCTATCGTTTCTCAAGACACTGTGTCTAAGTGACAACTTAAAATCAAAAAGAAATTCTCTTCACATAATCTTTACAAACTTAATAGATTTTGTATTTTTAGTATTGCACTTAATAGTGCTGAGTTATATAATTCATCGACTGGAAAATGGACACCAATTGATAATATGAAAGTGGCCCGAAGATTCCACCATGCATCTACATTAGAAAACAGAAAAATATTGGTAACTGGTGGGTTTAGCAATACTACTCATGCATTAGATGCTGCTGAATTATACGATCCATTGACAAAATCATGGACAATTACTGGAACTATGCATTATGCACGAGCCGGGCACACAGCATCCGTCTTAGCCAATGGAAAGGTATTAGTTACTGGTGGACAGTCAAATGATCCTCATAATAAGATATTACGTAGTGCGGAGTTGTATGATTCAAAAACAGGAAATTGGACAATTATTGAACCTTTAAATATTGAAAGAACGACTCATGCAGCATCTGTTTTAGACAATGGAAGTGTATTAGTATCTGGTGGAACAGTAGGAACTTTCAAAGATGATAATAGTTCAGAAGTCTATGATCCATTAACAGAGAAATGGTATATAAGCGGTGATATGAACTGCGTGAGAGGTCAACATCTATTATCTGTTTTATCAAATGGAACAGTATTAGTTACTGGTGGAGAAGCCAGGATACGTACATGCCCTGCAGAACTATATTAAATGCTTGGAAACCCGTGACATATATATATAAGTTCAGCTTCAAATTAATTCATAGTTGACTTTCGCGTATCTTTTATGATGTTGTTGTGATCTGTGCTTGCATACAAACTATTAATTTGCTACACTGCTATTCGTATTATGAACTCATTACTCATTTCTTTTTGCATTTGTATCCATCACGCTTAATCTCTTTTTTTACATCATCTCTCACTAATGATTTATTTTCCACTTACCTTCGCATATATTCTCGTTTCGTCGTTCTTGCGCATATATAATCATTATATATCCTCCCTCTTTTACAGCCTAGTAAATAAATAGTATTATTTAACATTTTATACCAGATTAAAGCCCGTCAAACGCTGCATTTATGATTAGAATTAGAACAAGCATTGTCTAAAAGATTCTTAAAATACTTTATATTACATATGAAAATATCATATATTATAGAACCTATCATATTACTCACAGAATCACAAATATATACAACTTCTTTAGCAGCTTTGAGAATATCAAAATCTTTTTTTCATTGAGCACAGTCAATCGATAAAGTGATTGGTGTCATTTTCAAGATCTTTGAGTGTATATTCTCAAGATTAGTTCTGAAGAGCATCATAGTTGTATTTGTTTCAACAGTTTCGTTTTACCATCAATTCTTTAACTTTATCTTTGATAATTATATCAATATTTTCTGTTGGGTTCATATCAAAACTGTTGCTAGACCAATTTTAATTGTCCCACAACTTCACATCTTCATCCTTTAAAACATGTTTTGTAATATTGACCATTATACATGACATTTTATCCATATTATGCAATGGAAACACATGCTGTTGAAAAACAATCCTACAAAAATAGATTCCATTTGAGGATTTCCTATGTTCTTTCAGAACTCAAAGTAGTATGTTTGTGGTACGGGTGTGAGTGTGGATGTGGGTTGGGATACTATGTAAATGTATAGTATCAACACCCACAACCTTCTTTTATTTTATAAAAAATAAAAAATTTAATTGATTTTAATCGAATTTCTTCAGTCAAAAATACCATAACATTAGTATTTTGATTGGCTTTATTAGTTTCTCAAAATTATAAACATCATCAAAAATTCAATAAGACGTTAATTGAATTTCGATGAATCTCATTTGAAATATCTTCTTGAATATTTTGATTGTTTATGATTTGATATTTAAAATATTTTTAAGAATTCAAATAAAATTAAATCGAAATATTGTTTTAATTCAATAATTAATTAAAAAGGTTATGAGTGGAGATATATGACGGTACCATGATCAACTGAAATTCAGACTCACACTCCTCAAAATGGGTTTAAATTAATTTTTTATACGTACAATTAACAAGTTAACAGGTAAAAATCCATTCAAATCGATTTTTTACATCTTTTCTAATATGGGTATCGCTAGTAAAGTCCTTGCGTTACTCAATCGAGTATTTAAAAATATTAGGAGAATTTAATATTAAGAAAAAAAATGATGTAGGGTAGAGAGAGTTGATATAAAAGAGACAACAAGAATTACGAAAAAACTATTAGAAAGAGAAATTGAGTCGGAGTAGAAAGGATTGTTACAAAATAGATAAACAAGAACAGAAAAAAAATGAGAATACGAAGAGTCGGTATGAAAGAAAAACAGAAAAAGATAAGGAAGCATACAGAAAAAAAATGACAACGCTATACTCAGATGTGAATAAAAGTTTTGTTACCATTTAACAATACAAAGTGCTGATCTATACACAGGTAAGTGTAACCATCTTATTAGCAAACGTAGAGTCACATTATTATTTTATTTGTATTCCTTTATTGATATAAACTAAATATCTTATTTTTTGAATAATTTTCATTCATTCCGTATTATGTTGTATTTTAAAATAAAGTTCGTAATGTCATCGAATCGATTCTTTATTTGATTTTAATCCATCTTTTATTTGCCTTCTAACAGAGTTACTATGATAGCATACATATATTACATTTTGGTATCGAAAACGATCAAAGAATTCGTTTATTAATATTTCATTTTACAACTATTAAACAAAAAAAATGATATAATCGAAAAAGAAAGAAAAGTACTTGTAGTAGGTGATTTTTAATTATTTTATTGAAAATAATGAAATTCAACCATTTATTTCGAGATCCAAAAGAGAAAGCACTAGAAATACTTCTAAATTAATGGATTTTTATTTAATTTAATTTTTTTTCAATAATTGTGTAACTGTACTACTTAATTTATATTTGATTTATATATAATAAAGAATTAATAAAATAAAAAAGTAATTATTTCTTTATCTATGTTTTTTTATTTAACAATGACAGAACGTGTGATTAAACTCAAGTAAAATATATGCATTAAAATTGGCATGTTTTATATATACGCTATTAATTCTTTTTTAGATATTAACAATTTGTATTTGACACACAACGTAATATTCTTCTGTGTATTCATTATTGTTTTTCAATACAAGAAGGTGCTAATATATCAACCAATAAATTATTAGTAAGTTAAAAAAATATTGCGTTCTGTATATTTTTGTACAACTTGGAAAGCGATGACAATATCTAGTAAAAAAAAAAAATCTATTTCTGTTTTCAGATTATCTATGTAGAAAAAGGTTCAACAAATTAGATTAAAATGACACCCTTTTAGTTGATTTTTAATTAGAAAAAAATCGGTTAAGGACGCATCTTGAGAATGTAGGTGAATGACTATTTTGTTCATGGTTACTCATATCTACATCCATACTCTATCTACCTTTCTACTAAGTTGATGTATAATACAGATGAGGACAATGCCGTCGTCAGAAAACTATAGCTCTTCTTGTCTTTAATTAGTCTACTCATTATAGGAAATCAGTAATCAGCCAGCATAACAATGGCATTCGTAAGAAGAGGACGCTTTGTGAATAATTATATCTCAAAGGTGCAACAAGATAACTGGAATCCAATATTTGGTTGTAAAGATCGGGATCTTAAGTCATTAGAAGAAGCCGTAGAAAGCATCATTCCATTCGTCGACAAAGTCATGGAGTATGCAGAGGAAGCTAAACAAAAATGTAAGAAAAATACAAAACTGACAATAAATGCATCAGCAGCAATCTATCTTTACACAATGGATACACCTTTCTATGAGAAATTCAACAAAGCTCTTCGAGGTGAAAATCCACCCACGTTGGTACCATGGTTCGACTTTCTAAAACTGTTCATTACCGCTCTAGCGAAATTACCGTCGCATCCAGCTACAGTATGGCGAGGTGTTGCAAATATTAGTGGCTTAGATTTTTATAACAATGATATGTTCACTTGGTGGAGCGTGAACTCATGTTCGTCGCGCGCCAGAGTCGCTGGAATTTTTGCAGACAAGAAGGGCACTCTGTTTTGCATTAATACTATTTATGGCAAAGATATTACTGAGTACTCATGGAACCATGACGAAGGAGAAATCGTTCTTACGCCTGGAACTCGATTGTGCGTCAAAGACACAACATTTGATGTTGATGGTTTCTCCGTCGTTCATTTGGAAGAATGGTTAGTATGTGTAGAAAATATTACAGGCCTCATAACGGTCCTTCTTTCTTCAGGATATTCTTCTCCGCTCTTTTTTTTTCTTTGCTTCTTTAGTTTTCATACAAACACCCACTCAAAAATCATCGTAAAACATATGAACAATACTTATGTTATATAGTGACCTCTCAGCAATGTTTCTAATAGCAAGTGTACTAAGCATAAATAGAATGTACAGATCAGAAACTGCTGCTAATACATACTGCTTTATACTTTAATCAAAAAACTTACTTGAGCAAAGTATAAAGCAATATATATATTGACAATAGTATGTGATCTGTAGCATTTCTTGAGGGTGGTTGTGAATATGACTGTAGGTATCGCTTATTTTTCTATGAACCACACCCATCGTAGTGATTACTTTATGATAATGTTAGTGCCTATCAATTCACTTGAGAATCTAAGTTCGACTACCGCATCTTCCCCACACTTGCACGTAGTTCAAGCGTTTCAAGGTATAGTAGTATCTTCGTATCAATGACTATGACGTTACAGCTTTTTCTCCAGTTGCCATATATCTATTCTGTAGCATTGAATCTATATCTTCTAGTACTCCGATTCCCGAAGGAAAACATATCATGATATCTTATGATTCGAATAGTCAAGAAACTGTATCCAAAATTCAGCATTATCTACAACTTGAATATTTACCACTTTGGCTCAATAAACAAAAAGAAACGACGAATGACCTAAAGAAAAGGTATAATTTTTTGTACTCTTTTCCATTCACTGAACACTGCAAGTATACTATTCTTTTTCATAGTTTGGCTGAAGGAGTAGAAAATGCTGCAGTCGTTTGTTGTTTCATAACTCCGAATTATGAAAAATCTGACTTTTGTCAACTTGAATTACAGTATGCACAGAAACGGCAAAAACGAATCATCCCATGTATGCTTACTGATATAGAAGGATGGAAATCTTGTGATTGGTTAACGCCAATAATGAAAGACCTCGCACCGATCGATTTTCACAACGCTTCTGAACCACCATCCATGCGAAGAAAGGTGCGAGAAATGATTCATCGAATAGAAGACCAACCTCCAACACTTCAATATGTACCGTCACAAGTAGCTGACGGATCAAGCTACATATTTGAACTGGTTAAATATGGATATAAGCGAAATAGTCGTATTGAACGTTTCGTAAATCCAGCTAAATCTTTTCCGATCGATCAAAGTTACATCAATTTGGCTATAGTAGAAACTAAAGATCAACAAGAAAAAGAAAAAAAACTTCGTGATTCTCAACACAACGATACGACTATGCAAGCATTTGAAAATATGCACGGTGCCAAGACTCCAGTAGATATTAAAGACATTTTCAAAACATGCAAGAATCAAACAAGGAATGTGCTCGTATTTGGTCGAGCTGGCATTGGAAAATCAACATTTTGTCAATACGTCGCTTATCAATGGGCAATTAGTATGATTTGGCAGGAATATGAACTGATTGCTTTGATCCCGTTACGTTCCTTGACAGCAGACCGTTATCCTTTATTACCAGCTGGCACCAACTATTCTTTAATAGACGTTCTGAGAAAAGAGTGCATTTCTTTCGATCAATATCTGTCAGAAAAAGATGAAGCACAATTACAAGAACAGTTTCATAGCAGTCGCATTCTTTGGCTTTTAGATGGTTATGATGAAATCGTGCAAAATGTACCCACGCATCTCAAAAGTTTATTGAATGATCAGTTACTTAAGACTCCACATCATATCATAACATCTCGTCCATATATGAATGCTTTATCGCATTCTGTACAGTTGGAAATTACAGGTTTCACAGATATTAATATTTCTAAATACGTCAAACAGTTCTTCGATCAAGTCGAAAATGAGGCACAGAATGTATCTGCTGAAAATGAAAAAATATTAAGCTTTCTCAAACGTAATCCCAGGATTCACGGTATTGCACACATTCCCATCAATCTAGAGCTCATTTGTAGTATTTGGAGTAATACTCACTGGTCAGAAACAAAAACACTAACGATGACAGGACTGTACGATGAAATCACCGAATGGGTGTGTCGCCGATATTTGGAAAAACAACGAGAAATTTCAACGGATTTATTGTGTGAAAACAATGTTTATAAAAAATGCAAGAATGAACTAGCATTTTTAGAACGTCTGGCATTTCTTGGGATGGAAAGTAATACTATAATTCTAGATCCAGCTCTACTGCAAAAAGCACAAAATGAGACTAATTGTTCATTAGCCGAGAATCGACACTTACTCAATATTGGATTACTAAAAGCATTCACGCATTATCATGGCACGGGAACGCGAATCGAAGCAAAAAAAGATCACTACTTTGTACATCTTAGCTTCCAAGAATATTTTGCGGCACGGTACTTGATTACTACACTCAATGCTTCCGAACCTCACAAAATGATAGACTTTATTCAAGGCCATAAGTACGACAGACGCTTTGAATTAATGCTCAGCTTTGCATCGGGAATTAACGCAAACAGCTACAACACTAGTTGTAACGACACATTCTGGAGCACAATCTTGCAGGAACCATTAGATAAAGCTGGCACTAGGCACATGCAAATTGTCATTTCTTGCTTAGAAGAGGCACATCATAATGAAAACTTCCATCACTATAAGGAATTAATGAACTATATAATCAAGTGTGTAGAATATGTCGTCCATCCAAAGAACAAAGTAATACACACGTACTTGTGCGAGACTTTATGCAGAAGCCCCTCGATAGTAAACAAACCAGAATTAACTAACACTCTCACTACGCTTCTGGAAACTAACAATGAAGACACATGGAAGAATGTCACCTCGTTGATAACTAATGTACCACTGTACAATCCGCCGCCGCCGTTCATACAGTTGCTAGTGACCGCATTACGGAATCCCAATCATAGTATACGAAAGGGCGCATGTCAACTCCTCAGTCAGCTAGCCGACAAAGCAGCAACAGAAGACGTAATCGCGGCACTGGTGACCAAACTGGGAGATACCGATAATATTGTCAGCAGTAAAGCATATGATGCTCTCTATCAGATAGTTGAAAAAGCAACAACCAAAGACGTAATCGCAGCGCTCCTCACAGCACTGGGACATACCGACAATACTGCAAGACGTTACGCATGTGAAGTTCTTGGTCAAATGAATGAAAAAGCAGCTACAAACGACGTAATCGCAGCGCTGATCACCGCACTGGGAGATCCCGATAATGTTGTTAGAAACAAAGCATGTAAAGTTCTCAGTCAGATGGGTGAAAACGCAGCAACAAGCGACGTAATCGTAACGCTGATGACCGCACTAGAAAATCCAAGTAATATTGTCAGAAGTAAGGCATGTAAAGTTCTCGGTCAGATGGGTAGAAAAGCAGCAACAAACAACGCAATTACAGCGTTGATAGTCGCACTCAGGGATACTGACAGTATTGTACGACGTAAGGCATGTAGAGCTCTCGGTCAAATGGGTGAAAACGCAGCAACAAACGACGTAATCGTAACGCTGATGACCGCACTGAGTGATACTGATAATATTGTCAGAAGTCAGGCATGTATAGCTCTCGGCCAGATGGGTGAAAAAGTAGCAACAAACGACGTAATCACAGCGCTGATGACTGCACTGGGGGATGCGAATGATATTGTCAAATTTGAAGCATGTGATGCTCTCGGTCAAATGGGTGAAAAAGCAGCAATGGAAGAGGTAGTCGCACTGTTGGTGAGCAAACTGAGAGATACTGATTGGATTGTCAGAGGTAAGGCATGTCAAGTTCTCGGTCATCTGGGCGAAGAAGCACTAAAGACGGATGTGGTCGCAGCGGTGATTACCGCAATGAGTGACATGCAGCATTATGTCAGGCAAGAAGCATGCAAAACACTGGGCCATATGGGTGAAAAAGCAGCGACGAAAGAGACAATTGCATCGCTCGTGACCAAACTGGGGGATGCGGATGAAATTGTGAAATTTAAGACATGTGAAGCTCTCGGTCAGATGGGTGTAAAAGCAGCAACCAAAGATGTAATCGCAGCGCTGATCACAGCACTGGGGGATGCGCATCGTATTGTTAGAAGAAAGGCATATGATGTTCTCGTTCAAATGGGTGAAAACGCAGCAACAAGCGACGTGATCGCAGCGCTGATGATCGCACTGGGGGATACCAATAATATTGTCAGAGAAAGTGCATGTGAACTTCTCTTGCAGATAGGTGAAAAAGCAGCAATAAACGACGTAATCATGGCGCTTCTGACCGAACTGCGAAATACCGAAAATATTGTCAGAAAGAGTGCATGTGAAGTTCTTGATCGGATCGGTGAAAAAGCAGCAACAAACGACGTAATCGCTGCGCTGATCACTGCACTTGGAGATCCCGATAATGTTGTTAGAAACAGAGCATCTGAAGTTCTCTATCATATGGGTCAAAGAACTGCGACAAGCGAGGTAATCGTAGCGGTGATGGCCGCACTGAGGAGTTCCGATAATATTGTCAGAGAGAGAGCATGTGTAGTTCTCGGTCAAATGGGTGGAAAAGGAGCAAGAAGCAACGTAATCGCAGCACTGATGACCGCACTGGAGGATACTGATAATATTGTCAGAAGTAAGGCATGTGAAGCTCTCGGTCATATAAGTGGAAAAGCAGCAAGAAGCGATGTGATCGCAGCGCTGAGGATCGCACTGGGGGATACTAGTAGTATTGTACGATTTAAGGCATGTGGAGCTCTCGGTCAAATTGGTGAAAACGCAGCAACAAACGACGTAATCGTAACGCTGATGACCGCACTGAGGGATACTGATAATATTGTCAGAAATCAGGCATGTATAGCTCTCGGCCAGATGGGTGAAAAAGTAGCAACAAACGACGTAATCACAGCGCTGATGACTGCACTAGAAGATGCGGACTGGGCTGTTAGAATTGCGGTATGGAATGCTCTCGGTCAAATGGGTGAAAAAGCAGCAACGGAAGAGGTAGTCGCACTGTTGATGAGCAAACTGAGAGATACTGATTGGATTGACAGACGTAAGGTATGTGAAGTTCTCGGTCGGATCGGTGGAAAAGCAGCAGCAAGTAGCGTTATTCACAAATTATTATGTATCGCTGATGACGACGCTTATGTAGCAGTAGAAAAAATTCTGGTTTCTACGATCTCGTTGTCTAATATAGATTCGAATACAGTCTCGAAATTATTTGATTTCTGGAAGCAGCATGAATGGCGGGTACGTAATATACCTATGGAAAAGATTATGGAGGCGTACAAGTGTACAAAAATCGTTGAATGGTGCCCTATTATTAGTTTGCACTCCCTTAATACCGGTTGTGCTGTTACTGTGGTTGGGAAGACAGTTATTATATATGGCAACTCTAATCCAGTAACGTTTAATATGCCGAGTTTCACACTTTGTGATGACTTAGTAGATGTGTTTGCTAATCAGAGTGGTTTAGCTTTTTATCTTCAAACCAGTTCGAGAAACGCCGTTTCATCGTCGAAGCGGTCATTATGGACTGTGTCGTGCGAAAATGACGATAAACGGCAAAGAATACTTTGACGATTATCTTTTTTCCGTTTTCACCTACGAGTCAGCTTTTCACACCGTTATACATGTTAAATCACTGCTGAAACAGTTGTACACGTGAATAAATTTTTCGTAATAAATGGCAAGTAATATTTTTAATCACGTTGATGACCAATAAATAATTGTATGAATTCTCAAAATAGGTTAGTTTTTTTACTAAATCTGAGGTTCTCTTAATTATTATTATTCACGAGCTTTTGTTGTTTAATTTTCAAAATATATATGAAAGATATTCAGATCGTTAGCAACTTTTATACAGCCTTATCAACTCACAAATTATATTTCTAAATTTATCTTACATAATTTTGCTTGAGTAAAATATTGAGTAAAATATTATTTCTTTCATTAAGAAAAACTTTGCAGAACATTTAAATTATATGAATCAAAATCATGTGCTAACACGAAGATTAAGATATTGAAATAATACATAAAAAGAGCTTATGATATTGTTAATAGAATATGTTTAATAGTTTTCTCTTCCTTTTTGTTCGATTATATTTAAGATATAATTATTATTTATTTATTAGTATAATCTTATCATCATCTTGAGGGTGGATGCGAGCGAAAGAAGAAGGGACACATCCACAATCACAACCACACCCTCAATTTCGTCTCGTTTATTATGTAAATTTTGCTTTGCTTGTTTATTTCCGTTTCAATGTAGAGCACAGAAGTCGATTATGAAAATTATATTGATTATATTATTCTTCAATTTGCATTGATTAACAATGTATAATGAATGAAGCCCCTGAATTTCTACCTAAAAGTCTTTTTTAAGTAAAATAAATAAGGAACTTATTCTTTATTTTATCCGTTCCTTCCTATGTATTAAGGAGTGGGGGTGAAGGTGCGCGTTTAAATACCTAAATGTAAGTAATAATAGCTCTTTTGCATTATATTGAAAGGTGTTTAATACCTTGTGAAAATACAATATTGATAATTTTTTTTCTAATTGATAAGTAGGTTTCTTCCCTCTTTTTTTATGTAGATCTGCATCAGCACTGACAGCTTGATAATATCTTCAAATATAATCCCACAACTTGTTCTTTACTTGGTTTATAATTCTCACAATAAAACTATGCATTTCATCGGAACCATCTTTAGCTAAATATTTACATTGACTTTCAATTCTTGCACATACTTATTCATGTGATTGACATTATCGTCTTCCCGACTTATCATAGCAAGTATTTCGACACACAAAATAAATAATGACAAAGAACTTTTATAATAGTAAGATGGCGCAATAAGATATACATCTTTCATTCTTTCCCTATCACTTATTTTACATCTAATGTTTCGAAACGAAATAATACGTTGGGTCATACTATCGACAGTAGTATTTTGAAATTTAGGTTATAATGACGAAAAAGAGCAGATAGATGGCGCATCACATCAGTCTACCTGAGCAACGGTTCTGAACACTATCGATACTTGAATTACATGAATTTATTTTTGAAAAAACTACGAAAGGTTAAGAAATCATTTTCGGGAGTATTGAACGAATGAAGCATGAAAAACATAAAAATTAGAACAAATAAAAAAAGATTCTGAAAGCTGTTCAGTTGATAAATAGTTTGATGATTATCAATCCAACCAACAGAGGAACGAATGTCAAATTGATGGTAGCACTGGATGTACCTCCAGTTGTTGAGGTCGGTTGAGGTTCATTTCGTACAACAACTTCGCTACATTCAGGAGATACTGCATTGTTCAATTGAATCGTACGACTGTCTTGACTAATTGTAATATGAACTAGATCTCCAGCCCATAATAGCGTGGTACTGAAACCACTAGGAGTCTGAATGATGTCGTTAAGCGGAAATGTTGCATCAGGACATGTAAATTGACTTTGAACACGCAGTGTATTCGCACTTGCAGATGAAAGAATTAGCTCGTTAGCAGGACAACAACAGGAAATTTTGTCACATCTGTTTTGTACAACAAATGTACCAGTCCAGTTAGGAGTTGCACTGCCACCGCCACCTCCACCACTCGTACATTGATAATTGGCACTACCGGATCCACTTGTACATTGTGTTGGATATTTGCTTTGACATTCAGATTTGCAAGATGAATCACATGATGGAATGGTAACGGTGCCTTGTAAATTTGGTGTACAAGAATTACCGGCACAGCATCTGCAATAGCATGTATCTCCACTACAATAAGAAATACTTGCTAGAATCCATATAAAACCTACTATAAGCATAGTTTGAGTTTGCATGATGTATTCACTTTAGTAAATGAAGAAAAAAACTATTTCTTGCTACACTGTGTGCACTATTTATATGCCTTTCTTTTTACGTCGTTACTAAATGCAAATGAGTGGAAGATAAGAATATGAAACGCAATAAATTCTACGAACAAGTTGTTGTCCTTGACGGGAAGAAAGATTAGAAAAGATCTCACTAATATTTACCTAACGATAAATTGATAAAGCACTCGTTTAAGCTGATAAATATTACTTTTTTCTCATACTGAGTGAGAAAGTTGGCGTGGGTGTTTGTGTGGATGCGGGTATGTGTGTGGCAAAGAAGAGACACCAATCCCACACCCACATCCTCATATACCTTTCTTTTTACGTCGTTATTAAATGCAAATGAGTGGAAGATAAGAATATGAAATGCAATAAATTCTACGAACAAGTTGTTGTCCTTGACGGGAAGAAAGATTAGAAACGATCTCGTTATTATTTACCTAACGATAAATTTGATAAAGCACTCGCTTAAGTTGATAAATATTACTTTTTTTCTTACACTGAGTGAGAAAGTTGGTTTTATAAATACCCATACTGGAAAACGGGTGTGATTGAGGATGTGGTGCGGGTGTGGGTGCGGGTGGGTGTGGGTGTAGGTGTGGTGGGTGTGGTGTGAGTTTGGATGTGGGTATTCTATTTACTCCACACCCACCGACACCCACACGCTCAAGATTATATTCCATAATATTGATACTAGGGTGTGGGGTGTGGGTGTGGGTGTGGAGCAAATAGAATACCCACACCCACACCCACATCCTCAAGATGTCATTACACTTTTCAATCGCAAAATACAATTGCATATCAATCGATGAAGAACAAAGCACTCTATGCTATTGCTTTTCAAGTTGATTCGACAACATTACAACAATGTCGAAAATTTACTGTTTGTCTACTAAAGTTTATTTAATCAAGTTAATTCATTTGTAAATCGAACGACATCAATGAAGTTTTCTCTTAAAATAATCCCAATAGATGATTGGAAGCTTGAACGAATAAAGTAATAGATAAATTATACTTTATGTTTTTTTTGACTCGACAAATAGTTACATGTTAATCTAATTCTTAATTAGCATAATACAATTTTACGCTTACATAGATCTTGTCATCATTTTTCTTCTTATCTTTTTCACTAGAAAAGTTCAAAATTGAACGAAGTACCTATTGAATAGAATGATAAGTAAATACAATGATGATGCAAGATTATGATACATCAAGACTACATAAGAATGATATTGTAGAAGGGAGGGTATGGGTGTGGATTTCAGTGAAGAAAAGAAAACCACCCGCACCCACACCTTCAAACAGGCTTCATAAATATGTGAAAGCCAAGCAATGTGCCATCTTCAATATCTTTCGAGCTCGAAGCCATTTTACGATCTGAAAACGTTAGCTTCTAAAGTTTTGAAGAAAGTCTTGTCTATGACATCATCATGCTACTTCTCTTCCATGATTATTCTTAGAACATTAGAACAAGACATTATCTCAGAAATGAATTTTGATAGTCTTGCTTTTTGAAAGTAGCAAAATAAAATAAATCTATTCGCTTGCTTACATAATAATCGAAATACAGGTGTGGATGTAGATATTGTATTATCATACGTGCACACTCACATCCACTCTCAATGTTTATTTATCAAAAATAATCATATATTCTGGAGTTGTGCATGTTATATTCAAACTTCGAAAGAATATCTCTCCTATTTTTCGTCGACAAAATATTAGAAAAAAGAAAAGACGTGTCATCAACTTAATTTGTTAGTTTTTCTAATGTAATCATGGAGATTCTGTTTTCTTTTGAGAAAAAGTTAACTTTTGTTTCCATCATTGTTTTATTCAGACGCAATTCTCTTTTTGTGAAACAACGTAGTTTATATTATTATTATTATAATAGAGGCCACATGATTTTACAAGATCTCTGTTTCTTGTTCTGTGTACATAAAACGTCTTAGCAACATACAATAAATAAAAGAAAAATAAGGGAAACATTTACTCAATGAATTAATTTTCATTGAGGAAAAAAGTACATTTGAATGTGTTGTTATGTTTATGATTAAATCAATATTTAACTAACTTTAGAGAATTAAGAATACTGTTTGTTTTAATTTATCTAATAAATAAAATGTTAACACTATCCTCTATAAATATAAATCTTAAGAGTGGGTATGGGCGTGGATTCACAGAAGATAAACATACTCACACTCACCTCTGCCTTCAGGATTCTATATGAATGATGTGACAGTTTACTAATAGATTGTATAGCCTATGAGATACATTTAATATAAATATATTTTTCCTCAAATAACATTTAAACACGTAGGAAAATCATCTCTCCGAACAGATAAATTTTTTTGAAAATGAAAAAGGACCTGAGTACCTTTGTCGATTAAATTGGTGAAATGAATTCTAGGAAACAGACATCAGAACTGTTACTCCGTTAGATTGAAGAAATAAATTCTGGGAAAAAACTATGCATTATCATTCACTGAAAAGAGAAGAAAAAAAAGAATTTATTTCTCAATAAATACTTTATTTTCTATTATGAATTGAATTCATTTGATTAACTTAGAATTTGGTGACTGATGGCTTTAACAAGATTTTATTTATGGCTGTCATTCATGATTATCACACAAACAGTCGGAGATGGTGGTATACGATCAGAGCAAATGTCTTTAATGCCTGCTTCTAAATTTCAATGTGTCAATACAACTTGTTTACCGTTCATTAGCGTTATTACAACAGACATTAGGAATTGTCAATTTGCTTGTTTAGGTCAAAGTCAATGCACAGCAGCAACTTTTCATCAATCAAATTCTAATTGCGAATTATTTGATAACATGTTGAATCAAAACGGGAATATGTTGGCTGATGTCGATGCTACTAGTATGAATGTTATTAGTGGAACACGATTTCCATCGGGTTAGTATAAAAATATATTGTTGAGAGAGAAAATTTGTTTTTTTCTTCAAAAATAATTTCAAGTTCTCGAGAACTAAGGCCATCTGAAACAATGCAGAATGAGTTTCGCTCAAATTCCGAATTCCAATCATTATTCATCGTAACTGAATTGTAGGACAGTGTTTGAATTTCGTCAGTTCGCGATATCGGTAGAATTCGAAAAAAATTAATAAAGTCGTTTATAACATATTTTTTTATCAGTTTGATTTAACATTTCATAATAAATCTTATGTTAATCATGGAAACGAAGAGAAGTCTTTTGAAGATTCGAAATCGTTTGATCTGTCACCAATAGATAGACAACTTATGCACATGACAGATTCGAAGTGATTTTAAGAACAACATTTTTTTCTCACTTTTCTGCTTTATCTAGAATGGACAATGACAGGGAACATGAGTACCGCCCGACATTGGCACACAGCATCCATATTAGCAAATGGATCAGTATTAGTTACTGGTGGAGAAACCTCCAGTGGTATTGTCAATAGTGTTGAATCGTACAATCCATTAACAGGTATTTGGGCAACCACAGGAAGCATGAATGTTGGACGATATCTTCATACAGCATCCACATTAGCAAATGGATTAGTATTAGTTACTGGTGGATACAACAGTACTAGTTATTTCAATAGTGCTGAATTGTACAATCCATCAACAGGCGCTTGGACAATGACAGGAAGCATGAGTGTTGCACGATATTATCACACAGCATCCACATTAACAAATGGATTAGTATTAATTACTGGTGGACAGAACAGCGCTAGTGTCCTCAGTGATGCGGAGTTATACCATTCATCAACAGGCACTTGGTCAACCGCAGGAAACCTGAGTGTTGCACGATATCTTCACGCAGCAGCCATATTAGCGAATGGATCGGTATTAGTTACTGGTGGAAAGAAAGACGGTGCTTATCTCGATAGTACTGAGTTTTGCAATCCATCAACAGGTATTTGGACAATCACAGGAAGCATGAATGTTGGACGATATCTTCATACAGCATCCACATTAGTAAATGGATTAGTATTAGTTGCTGGTGGACAGGGCAACGGTACTAGTTATCTCAATGGTGCTGAATTGTACAATCCATCAACAGGCGCTTGGACAATGACAGGAAATATGAGTATCGGACGATATTGTCACACAGCATCCACATTACCAAATGGACAAGTATTAGTTACTGGTGGATACAACAACGGTTATCTGAATAGTGCTGAGTTATACAATCCAGAAACAGGCACTTGGACACTTACAGGAAGCATGGATGTCGCACGAAGATATCACACAACATCCACATTAGCAAATGGAGAAATATTAGTTACCGGTGGAAGCAACAGCGGTGGTTATCTCAATAGTGCTGAGCTTTATTAATCGATACAGACAGAGTGACATTTTCTTTTGTGAACTGAACCATAATTTTTTTTTTATATGTAATCAAACTATTTAATCGTTCACATTTCTTAATACATTATCATTCACCAAATAATATATGAGTTGGGTGTTGGTGTCAATAATATAGAAAACGATGCGTCCACACCCACCCTCAAGACATACTATACTTATGATAAAAAGAAAAACTTGTTTCTATACAATATTTAACGTGCTCCTGTGGCATAAGCGGTAAATGCATCCGGCTGTTAACCGGAAGACAGGTGGTTCGAATCCACTCGGGAGCTTCATTCGTTTTTTTCTCATAATTCTATTTGATATTATGTTGAAAATAATTGGACTATTGCGAAAACTTTCGTCAATTACAACCAAAAACACAACGAGTACCTGTATGACTCATAGTTCTTTCTTTCTTTACTTCTACACTGTACTCGAAATTTCGTAGTTTAACGAACATAATACATGTATATTACTGTTATTAGAAATGTTTATTGTACCATCTTGAGAGTGTGAGTGTGGGTGTTTTCGCTCTGTACACCCACACCCTCAAGATAAAAAGTAATTGATAAAATATGGATTTTGTTTATTTCTTTCATCAGCTCCTCTCTGTGAGATAGTGGAATGATTCATATCTTCTAACAATGTGTCATGTTATTTTTTCCTTATCTATTATGGTTGTATCCAACACATACACATATATATATATATCTTTTCATCTTTCTTTATTTCCATCAATAAAAATACCTTTCCCGAAGATCGTATTTTATTGAATATCAAGACGTGACACTATTTATAATTACTAACAGAGTTACAGTTATTAACAAAAAAAAAGTATATTGATAACGAAGAAAGCAAAATTGAATCTTTTCAAAAGTTTTTTTTGTTATTCTCCCATACCCTATTTTCATTAAATTGATGAATTTAGAAAAATATATTAAGTATGAACGAAGAAACACACCTGCACATATTGTTAGCATGAACAATATTATCGATAGATAAGAAAAAAAAGAACTTAACGTTTGAATGTTTCTTTGATTTATTAAGACAGACTAAAAGACAATAATATCCATTGAAATCATAATGTGTTACTCAATACATCATTCATCCTATTGCTGCTTTATCATAGGAAAACAGGTGTAATAAGTTTTCCACCAAATGATATTGAGATATTTACTCTAGAAAATGTTTTTCCTCTCTTCATAGAACAAGATTTTCAGTACGAATAAGATTATGCTTCATTAGATAGAAGATGAGTATAGTACATTCACATTCTCAATCTTTGTAAAATAGTGAATGTAGAAAGTATTTCTATGTGCTCTACATAATTTACCTACAACTCAAGAAATGTTGTTCGTCCAAGAGATAATATAAAATTTCCTGTTATTTGAGTAAGTAGGATATTATAGTTATCAGCTACCCTACAACGGCCATATTTCAAAATAAATCCACTTTAAAACTTAATCCATCGATAACCGAACGATTACAACTTTACGAATTTTTCCATGCTCCTAGTCTACGTTATGATCCAAAAGAAGATATTCAAATTGAAGAAAATATCAAACCAGCTCTAGAACAATCAATTACTTCTACAGATAAAGATTCGATTCGATTTAGCCAACGCTTAACTTTCAATGCAACACAAAATCAAAATGCAGAAGGTAACACAACATAGTAAAGTACCCAAGGTATAGACTCTGATAAAGACTCGCATCCACACCCACACCCTCAAGAAAACGAAAAGGTGTATATTGTCGGAAGTTTCTAGTTTATTTGTAAAAGATCATTATGTGATTAATATATTGAATGTAGAAAAAAAAGAGTTCTGAACATGATCGATTTTGTTATTTTTCATTTAAATCTCATGAATATTGCCTCTAAGATGTATGTTATTGATTAAGCACTACATCCTGTCGACATAATGGACATCTCGTTAATTGTTCTTGTTGTTGATCAGCACAATCATTGCATAAACATTTATGACCACATGAGAATAAAATCACTGAACTCTTGTTTGTTAAACAAATACAACATCTATCTCCAGTGGTAGTAGCCATAGTTGAGGATGCTATATTAGTTGTTTGTGGTTGACGAAGATATTGATTCAAAGGAATATCATCTCTTTGAGCAATATCTAACAAATGTCGATATTCTTCTTCATATAAGGATTGATCATTGAGAACGAGCATTTCTTGTTGAAAATATTCGACTAAACGTGGAAATTGTCGACGCATTGTTTGATATTCATCCATAATATCAGGTGTAGCTGATGCTTGACGTACTTTCAAATAACGTTTGATAAATTTTGTATAACGTACAAGTAAAATAGCTTTGCGTATTCCCGAATGAGTAAATGAATCGATTTGTTTCGAAAATTGTAAGTCCTGTTCATTGGTTTGTGTTATACCTTCGAGAGTATCCCATGATGTATTCATTCGAAATGATTGATCATTTTGATCTTTTTTTAAATCAATCATTTGAAATAAAAGATATCCACCCCGTACTTCATTTTGATTATTCATTGGCAATGCAAATTCACTAACTAATTTTATTGATTGACGAGGAGTTATTTGATCTTCGAATTTATAGACTTCAGGTGAACCATAACCTTGTCCAATTCGATAACGTTCTCCCATTAATAGAAATTCAATATTAAATCCAACTGGTGTAACTGTATAATGAAATTGTGTATTCATTAATTGATCAAACGTTCGAGCATTTCGAACATTACAATAATTGCAACCAATCGTCTTTGATACTGATTGAATTACTTCTGTTCCTAAATCAAGACCAACACCAACAACAGTTGACCAGATTCTTTCTTTTTCTGCATTATCTTTAATATGTTTTAAAAATTCTTGCCCATCTTCACGTGATACTTCCATATCGGTGAGAAAAAAAATTCGGCGACTAATATTATGATTATCATCTTTATTCTTCTCTCGTGTATGAAATAGATCAGTTGCACATTTTACTGCTTCAGTAATATTCGTCCCACCCGAAGCACGTAGTTTTAAAATATCTTCTTTTAATTGTTCTTTATTGATTGACGATACTTTTTCAATGGGATGTAAAACTGTTGCAGCACTATTAAAGAGTACAATACCGAGTGCATCATCAGGTGAAAGTTGTTTGAGAAGTGTTAATAAAGATTGTTGAGCAATTTGAACTTTTGTTTTACCTGGTTCACCTTCGAATCGATCGGACATCGAACCGGATACATCAAGTGTTATAACAAGTTCGAGTCGAATATTATTTGAATGAATACCTGGACCATCGAAGCGACTGTTCAAATTTACACTGAGCCAATGTTCAACATTTTGATTGCCATTTGCCAATGGATCAATCGTTGTAGCCACACCAAATAATGGTATTAACATGTCTGTTGTCGTTGCTTGAGCGGTAAAATAATGAGCATAAAATGAACTTTCATAACTGACATCATAAATAACATCAACCGGTGCTGCGGCTGCAAGTTCTTCTTCCGTTAATTCTTCTCGCCCTTGTTCTTGAGCTTGAGCTTGTCGTTGCTCAGCGTATGCTTGATAGGCAGCAGTTCGACGAGTTATTCGACTACCGATTGATTTACAAGCTGTTTGTTGTGTATGACCCATGTTGAAAGGAAACTGAAACGCGAATGAAAAGAAAAGAAAGTCAGCGATGATTTATATAGAGATTTTTTGTGTTTTTACCCTGTATCATGACATATTATTTGCTCAAGATAAGCGGGAATAATAATGCAGAATTTCTTACGAAATTACAACAGTCATACCTTTAAGCGGGTATTTTATTAGACTCGTCACAATGTACATAGAATGACAACAGGGATTTGTTTTTGTATTTTTAATTACAGCTGTTTTGTAAATAGGGTTACATAGATTTAGTTCTTTTTTATGTTGAGCTTTTTATTCGATCGATTGAAAGAGCTATGGGTGTGGGTATAGAATGACGAAAGTACACCCAAACCCACATCCTCAATATGATAGAATTGTTTCGATACATGACGTAACGTAAAGGTAATAAACCATGTATCAAGATAATTGAAAATATGGTACAACAGTTCACTAGATAATGTTGATTCTATAAAAGAATATAAGTTAAGTTACGAGAGAATACATTCTAGTCTCTTTGATTGAACATTATGGAAACAATTCTGGAGTAGAACTGGTTTCTAAATATTCAGGCGTCGCGAAATAGGATGTCTGTTCATTTATGAATAATAGAAGTAACTTCATTTTAGGTTATTCCTAATTCTTATCTTTTTACGTTATTACAAAATCTTTGATTTTGTGAAACTCACGTAAATTTTCGAAGAAAATCGTGAGTGAAAGTTTTAAGTTCAAGCTTTTCAGCTCCCCCTCCCCTCCCTCCCCCCTCTAAATTCAATGAAAATAAGCAAAAATCATTAAAAACAGTTTTAAATTGCTAAAATTTTAATAAAAATAATAGAAAGCGTTAAAAATAGCTACAAATTGCGGAAATTTCTATAAAAAATTAGCAAAATGGTCAAATACAGCTATAAACTAGTAGAATTTTAATAAAAATAACCAAAAATTATCAGAAATAGTCATAAATTAATTGAATGTGAGCAAAAACAGCCGAAAATGATTAGAAACAGGCAGAAATTGCTGAAAATCTAATAAAAATAACCGAAATTGATTAACAATAGTTAGAAACTGCTGGAATTCTTTAAAAATAACGGAAAGTAGTTAAAAATAGGTAGAAATTGCTCGATATCAATACAAATAACCGAAAATAACTATATTTTCTTGGATTTAATAAAAACTATCGACGATGCCCAAAAATAGCTAGAAAACTGAAACATCAAACTAAATAAACACTACATAGTTAGAATATAGATAAAACATATACCAAATAAAATATCACACTACTAGTTGTTTTTTCTATTTTACTTCAATGTAAATAAAAATATATTATATTTTATTCGAATAACTAAATATTTATTAATTTTCACAAAGTCAGAT